GGAACTCCATGTGGTCTTGCAAATAACTGAATAACATTGACTCAAAGAACGACATAGATGAACCTCAGGAACAGGTATGCTTTGAAACCATAAAATGATCAGATAATTCAAGTTGGAAGAAACTTAAGAAGGTTGTCTAGTTGAAATTTCAATATGCAAGACCTCACGAATCCTGAAGTTTCATTTAGTATCAGAAATGAATCCAGGGAAAAAAAATACTTTCACATGTATTAAAAATTCTTTTTAGTTTGTTTTACAGCTGGAATGTGCCATGGATTTAGTATGTCTCAGAGGGAATACTACTTCTTGAGTCTTACTGAACAAATGAAATTCTACTCTGGCTCATTAACAGAGAAATCAAAATGAATGGCAATAATCCAGATATCTGCTATAGTTCTATTTCAGAATGCTGTTTATGTTAACACAGTTAGTATGTAAAATGTTTGGGTTTTCATTATGGCTTAAGAAACTAAACTGCTTTAGAGAGAGGTGAGTGAAGTCATCTGGGTAAACATGCCAATCTGAAGAACAGCTCCCCAAATTAAACCAAGGAACATTATGAGAAATGATTCATTAAAGACTTTTTTTCATAAGACTCCATGCTCATTTTCTGTGCAAGTGAAGTTTCCAGTGTCATACATACTGTTTATTGCTATAGCATTCTCCAGATGAATGGAAGAAAATAATGAATGTCTGCAAAACAAATACAAAGAGTGTAACTTCATCCGAACTGCTGTGCAGTGCTGATTTTCTCCTACAGTCAGGGCCAATGCAGCTCAGAAAAATAGAAGTCACTTCTGTACTCTGTGTTAGAGTCATGGTTGAAATGGGCATACATGTTGTTAAAGTTTATTTGGTCCAGGCTTCTAGCTCCTTTGCTGGTATATCACTCATTCAAAAAAAAACCCAAAGCAGAACAGCAGTCTTTGCTTAATTCACATCCTCAGGTGTCAGTGCTACAAAAAAGTTGATATAAGGAATATTTGCATTTCTTCAGGTATGCTGAGTACTCATGTCCCCTTAATTCACTGTGGAGTGCATTTGAAGAACTTGCACTGACTTGATTTGTACCAAGTCTAACTTTGTCAACCTGCACCCATTGCACATTGGGCTTCCCACAGAAGCTGCTCTCAAGAGTAAGGCTGAACTGACTGGGACTTGGTAGAACTCAGGGTCTTCAGAGGGCACGGTGGTGTGAGAGCAATGCCCAAAATTCAATGCTTGTTCCCACTGTATATCTAGTTCATAAAATGACTTGCAAATGCTTATATTTCTTGGAACTGAATTATTATTTCATATTTCAAATGAGCAGACTTTTCTATTATAGTGAACTAATTATAGGGTTATTAGGGTATTAGTGCTCTACAGCCTTCTAGCCAGATGGTATGAGTTGTTTGACTGAGCACCAGTGTTATTGTTGAGTGATGTTGAAATGGTTTGCCCACAATCACCTGGTAACGCTCATCTACACAGATTCAGCCCAGTGATCTACTCACTAAACCATTTAACTTTTCAATATTTGCTCATTACTTTTGCCAGCGTTTAGCTACTTGGTCTGGAATCTTCCTTCCGTAGTATCTGCCTGAAGCAGTGTCATCTCTTTCTGGGAACAAGAACAAGAAACATGCATTGCCTTTCCTATATAGATTTTAAATTAATAGAATAATTCTTACAAGTCCTGTGAGAAATTTTTCTGCTCTGGGATACAGAGACACCGTTGAAATCCAAGAGAGAATCTTCCTTGAGTCATGGACATATTTTTCATTCTTCTGGCCCCCACCTAGATATTTTCAGGTTATAATTTTGTCTTCAATATGCTAGTTGTTATGAGTTTTAAACAACTGTATGCAGAGTTTAGTCCCTAAATGCTTTTCAGCTTTATTCTGCTGTAGGTTTGCACTGTTTCAGAGCTGTAAGAATGAAGGGACTTGCCCTGTAATTTTGGAAGATGCTGGTAAACAGACACTAGAGACAGTGTGGAAACTCTTTATTGCTAATAGTGCTCTTCCTTTTGGTGACGAAGAAGATTCCTGTGCAACAGAACAAAAATTGGACATGAGGAAGTAGAACAGTAAGGATTAGGGGAATAAGAAGCCAGTGGAATGGGAAGGGGATCTGGGAAGTGACTATGGGGAGATAGTGCCTGCTGAGAACTGAGAGGGGAGAAAAAAGATCAGTTAAATGTGTACGTGCAGGGAGACTAGGATTTAGGAGGGAAGAACCTGAGAGTGAAAGAAGGAAATAAAAGGTTTTGATAGTCTGTGGAGGATTGGACATCTCAACTTTTGAGGTGAGTCTAGGAGAAAAGGGATGATAGGAGTAAAGCTGCAGCTGAGATGGAAGCGTGGGAAGAGGGAACCAGTTCATATAGTGAAGAAACTTCGCTGGGAAGCCAGGGAAGGTGGAGTGGGTGTGAAGGGGGTTCGTCATGCTCTGTTTAGAACAGAAGAATTAGTTCTGATCACTAAAGGAGAGTCACCAAATGTTATTCAAAACAAAAACCTGGAACAAACCTCTTAATTCGAATGGAATCTAACAACTGCAGGCTCAGTAGAGATGCGGAGTTTATGACGTATTCTTTTTCCCTATAATCACCACCTTTGAACTCTTCAGTTACACTGGCAATAATTACTCCCCTTCCTTGTTCCCCTCTGGGGCTTATAATTTTCTTAACTTTCCCTTTGCTTATAGCCTACTCTGCTCTGCAGGTGCCAGCAATTCTTGTCTTTCAAACTGTCTTTTATTAACGTAGTTCAGTTGAATTCAGAACAGTTGTTCATAACCCATACCTTCTGTTATAAGAGCTGAAAAGAATTTGTATGCATTAAGTTGGTCTCTTTTTCTTCTTAACTATAAAAAATGTTCTTATGAAGTTATTACTGAGCCTTACAAACTTCGCTTTGCAAGAAATACTTGTTCCTCTGAGTGCTTTCAATGTTGTTTGCAGGTTTGTTTCTGCAGTGTTGACATCAAAGTGAGATTTTTTTCATGTTTTCTGTTGTTTTGTGAGATTGAATGGGAAGGTTGGGATGATGATTATTATTATTTGTAGTATTATTATTATTTCTCTTGGGAATATATTAAAAGGTAGAAGATGGATAACTGGAGATTCAAGGGTGACTCATGTTTTTGTTTAGCTTGAACTAGGTCCAGCTTTTAAGAGGAACTTGATTTTAGGTGCATGTTTTTGCAGAGTGTTTTAAACTGGAGCTATAATTCCAGAGGTCTCAATAGCATGTGTTTGTTTTTATTTAGAAACATGTTTAAGGAATGTTTTTGGTGGGTGAATGTAAAATAAATAAAGCTATCTCAGTCTGGAGGTTGCAATTTTTTGGTGTATTCAGTGTCAGCAAAAATCAAGTGGAAGAATGTTATTTAGAGAATGGACCCAGTTAATTTTTATGCTTTACTTTGTAAAGAATTGTCTTTATGCTTTCTTTCATAAAATCTTTATGATTTCTTAAGTAATGTTTGCTTTCTACTTTGTAAATATTTCTGCATATTTGGGAGGTGGCTAAAATTTGTTTTCAGCATGGACCACTGCCTGCTTGTCTTTGGGTAACACAAATTCAGAAAGTGCTTTTCTTCAGAACAATATACTGTTACCATATTGTCACTGAGGTGTGTAACAGTCATGCCATTGATTCTAGAATGTTGTTCAAGGCGTGTTTCTAATTTTTTTGCCATTATAAATTCTCAGTGAACATTGTTTATAACTCAGGTTTTATTAAAAAACAAACAAATGAAACAAAAAAAAAATCAAAGAAGAAAACCTTGCTTTCATGTGCTATGTGAATATTGTAGCTTGTGAATATTCTGAACTTTGTCTCCAAAGCAATTGATGACATTTATAAGTTGTTAGTGAAATTAAGCAAAGGCAGGGCTTCACTTGTTTTTTGTTTGTTTTAGGGGATTTGTTCTTATGTCTTATAAATGACTGTTCCCTGAGAAAGTATTCGTAGTACTTTATTCATACAGTTGTAATTTACCTTTTGAATATAATAGATAAGGTTAGAATAACAATGTAATAATGTAATCTATTTTTAAAATGTAGCCTAATGGATATTTCTAATAACTGTACTTTAATGGAAAGGAATTTCAACATTTGAACCTAGTTTGCAAGTTGAACAATAAACATCCCTCTGGTAACTTAGAGAGCACAGACACTTTCATCCTAGTCAGCTGCACACTGGGGGCATAGGCTTTATCTGTGTTTCAGTGTACTTAGTATATAAACTTGTATACTGAGTATAAGTGTATATATATATATATATATATATACAGTATGTAAACTTATATACTTAGTAGATAAACTTATACACAGATATGTAAAATGTACGACAAAAAAGAGTTAAATTTGCAAAATAAGGAATATTTATTATGTTGCCTGCTTAGAAAAACCTTGCCATGTGTTTTATGACCTGAATGAGACAGCTGCAGAATTTGTCCAAGCAGAACTTGTAGTAGTGTGTACGATGGCTTTGCTGGTCATTTCAGCAGAAGTATGACAGACGTACATATGAGCTGAGATGTCTTTGAGAGAAAAAATGCTGATGGAAGACAGTAAATTTAAAAATACATTAATTATTTTAGGGTTTCATTGACCTTTGTTCTATAGGAAAACTTGGAGATTGTTATCCAGCTCCAGTGGAAGTGTGCATCTTTTTACTTGAGAGTACTTCACTAAAATTCTTCAGATGATTTAAAAGTTTTACGTACAAAAGTTCAGAGCTAGTAAGATTCTCCTGTCTATCAATGAGAGATGAGAGGAATGTGACCACACAAATCTTCCTAAAATTAACAGGCATTATATGATTTGATCTGTGGCTCCTGTCGTGAAATGTCCCTGGTGCAAATTTCACCATATGATGAGTGATTGTGTTCCATCTTCTGATCTGTTGCTGGTTTTGAATGATAAGGGAGTGTTGCAGAGTCAGTGTTTGGACTATATATTATGCAATATGTTTTTGTACTAATTCTAAAATGTGTTTTAATTGCAGGGATATTAAACCAGACAACATCTTGATGGATATGAATGGACATATTCGATTAGCAGATTTTGGTTCTTGTCTGAAACTGATGGAAGATGGAACGGTAAATTAGAAAGAATTATATATTCCTAAGTACTTTTTCTTCAGTCCTTTACTAGCCACTAAAATGTGTGCTAGTAAACAGGAAACGTGCTTTATGTCAAACAACATGGAATTGTAATGGTATTGTTATATAACTAACCTTGATTCAAAAGATGACTGCACACTGCTTGGATTTACTTGATATTAAAAGCTTTTTAGATGCATATAGTCAACTCATAAATAAATAATGAGAAGCTGCACTGTCAGTACTGAATATGTGTTTGTTGATGAACTATGAATCTCTCAAGTTTTCAGCTCTGAGCTCTAATATTTATTGAAAATGTAAGCTTTAGTATAAGCAGGATGAAATACTGAAATATGGTGATGTGCTAATTATAGTGTATTTAAACTTGCACAGTATATAGTAGGTGTGACTAGAATGTAATTCTGGTATGTTAATCAAGTCGCAGAGTGTTACAAAGTATTTGAGTTAATATATGTGATTTACCTAATCTATAATTACTTAACAGCTCTAAGCCTAAGAATTGACAGTTTTGTTCTTTCTCTGTTACTAAATATTTGTAAGAGTTTAGCCAAAGTATATTATTGGGATGCCTATTAATATAGTGCCATGGATACTTAAGTATTTCTTTATTGATTTAGAAGCCTTTGTTTGTCCTCAGTTCTTGTTCTTGTAACTAGCACACTAGGCTAAATTTATATGTATGTGCACAGCGCCACTGACAGCAGTGTCTGTAACAATGGAAGTTGATTTTAATTCTGGAAATGTAACTACTACAGGTCCAATCTTCAGTGGCAGTTGGAACACCAGACTACATCTCTCCAGAAATCTTGCAGGCCATGGAAGATGGAAAAGGGAAGTATGGGCCCGAGTGTGACTGGTGGTCCCTAGGCGTTTGCATGTATGAAATGCTTTATGGAGAAACGCCCTTTTATGCTGAGTCCTTGGTGGAGACCTATGGGAAAATAATGAACCACAAAGTTAGTGCACTTTCTCTTTCTGTCTTTCTCTACGCTAATTTTTAATAAGTAATAGGGTAATTTGAGGACTTGTTTAAAAATGAGGTTTTATGTACTTATTATGTTAATGTTCATAAATGTAGAACAAAAAAATATGTTTCCATATAGTAAGTTTATGGTTATGGTTTGCAGATGGCTTTGCTTTAGGATAAAGCAGTTCAAAACTAAAAATCTGGATTTGGAAACATGGCTGTTAGTTCACTCTATGGAGTAAATCTTGGCTACATTACATCACTCCTTTTGTGTTACTTTCTTCTGGCGAATCCATTGGTTGGCTTATGCAGAGGATTCTTAAATGTTCTTCCACATGGATGTAGCTGTAGACTTCAACAGTGTAAGAGACACTTAAATAAAGAAGAAAGACTAGGAGACAGAAAAACGTCAATAGTTTCTATCCTTTGAAGAAATCTTTTTCCTAGAAACCTTACTGCATATATTTAAGAACAGGAGTATTTGCACATTTCTTTTTCTACATAATGTTTTTCACTAAGAAGGGTGATTTTTCCAAATTTTTGTTGGTAATAAACTATTTTCTCTTACTAATCTTGAAGGAGAGGTTTCAGTTTCCTGCTCAAGTGACAGATGTCTCTGAAAGTGCAAAGGACCTCATCCGAAGGCTCATTTGTAGCAGAGAGCATCGGCTTGGACAGAATGGGATAGAAGACTTCAAGAACCATCCGTTTTTTGCTGGGATTGATTGGGACAACATTAGGAACTGTGAGGCACCTTACATCCCAGAAGTCAGCAGCCCCACTGATACATCAAACTTTGATGTGGATGATGACTGCCTAAAAAATTCTGTAAGTATAGAATTAACATTTTGAGAAGTCTGCTTTTGTAGTATACTTTTATAGCAAAATATATGTAAATGGCATGTTATTTATTTGATTTCACTGGTTTTACGAAAACAGCAAATAAGTGCTGCTTTGAAGAACTGTGTAGGGAATACATTCATAGTTTGGAGGCTGACCCTCCAAAGATGTATGTATAAGGATAACTTCAGTTCAACTTTGTAAATTCATTGTAACTTTACATATATTTGTCGCTGCACATTAGATATATATGTGTTGGTTAAGTTCTTAGTATCTGTCTTATAATAAATAATACCTTTACATGTAGATGGTCTGCAAGACACAGTATTTCTAGCAGAGCGTTATTGAGACATGTACTAGGTTTGCATAATACATTTTATTGTAGTGCTCTACTCTAACTGCTCCTATCTCTATCAGATTCCATTCAGTTCATTCCCACTAAAATTTTTCCATCTTGTTTTCTGACTGGAGTTAAGTTTTGGAAAATTTAGGAGAAATGGTAGAGCCATTTCTTTACGTACAACCTTAGTGAAAGAAATTATTTTCTCTTAGCTTAAAAAAATTTGCAACCATTGATTTTTAACAACCTTAGTGTTTCTATGCTTTTGAACAGGTACTTTGACAGATGATAGAGGTTGTAGCATCAGAGGAATGCCTTGTGTTGTCTCCTTGGGAATGCTTTTTTTTTTTTTTGGTGCTTGTTGAAAGATGTAGAGACTTGCTATTTACATGTGAGGTGAAGCATTTTCACACGCTTTGCTTTTGTTTCAGTTTTGAATCTCAGTTGCACTGAACTTCCTGGACCTGCAGATAAGTGATAGGCAGAGTGAATTGGTATAGGCAGGATGATCATTATTTGCATTCCCTTTCCTCCAACTGTGCAGTAAAACATAGGAAACACTTGGACTGGATGAAATCCTGTGGTGGACGTAGGTGGTGTGGAGCATTAGGTCTCAGAGTCCTTTCATGTTCAACCCACCCCCCGAGGAGGAGGGAGCAGCGAGCTGACTGTAACCCCCATCCCCTGCCCCCTGCATTGCTGGGGGAGGAGGTAGAGAGATCAGAGGCAGAGCTGAGCCTGGGAAGAAGGGAGGGATAGGTGGATGTGATTTTGGATGTTGTGACACTTCCCACTGTCCCACCTTGTCTGTTGAGTGTTGGTTTTGTTAGTGTTTGAATTAAAGTGATGTTTTCTTTTCTTCCCCTAACGAGTCTGTCTTTTGCCCATGACCATGAGTGAGTCACCCCTCCCTGACCTTATTTCAACTTTTGAGCCTTTTGCTTCATTTTCTTCTTCCCAGTGCTGGTGGGGGAAGAGGTGAGAGAACAGCTGTGTGGTGCTCCATTGCCCTCTGGGATCAAACTACGACACTTTTTTTTACACAGTTTTCAGATACCTGTTTGCACATAATTTTGTCCAGGTATCAGGACTGAGTGGCGGGAATGGATGCTGTGTGTAGCAAATCTTTGTGAAGCTGAAATACCTTTTGGAGGTTATTCACGGGTTCTAATGCTGGCCTGTCCAGGGGTCTTCCTTTTTAGAGCCTGATCTCCCAGCTGAAGCACTTTCAAGGTGCCTGTTCAGTGTGACTGTTTTTCCATCATAAAGAAGAAGGAAGCTGCAGGTGAAAGAAGAATGCTCCTGTGACGAGTTATTGGACTCAGATGTGAAAACAGAGTCTGATTCTTAATTTGCTTTAGACTTTGGGAGTGAAAAGCAACACTGTTGAACCTTTTAAGATGAATACAGGTTTCTGGATCTTCATTTTCAGTTTCTCATTTGAAACATTTCTCATTTAATTTCAGGTTATATTTTTACCATTTTTTTTCATGCATAGCATGTCAGGAAAAAAAACTAGCCTAAGGTATTGAACAACTGAAGATATTTTATATTCTTGCTTCAGCTAGTGAACATGGTATTTAATATTGCTTCCCCTCAAATTCCTATACGTAACTAACATCTTTCATACACATCTTTTAAGGAAAGTTCACATACTTGTGTTACTGTTACAGAAGTCAGCACCACAGATGAACCCATGAGAATTTTTTTTTTTCAATTAAATTCATTGCGAGGTTTGAACGGCATGCTGCAAATAAGGGATGCCCAGTGCTGAAGATAAGAGGCAATGTCAAAAAGCCATGATTGTTATTGTTCTACCTGAACTTGGAATGAGACTGTGGTCCCATGGAAGAATTATATACATAATAATGGCATTCAAACAGTATGTTAAAAGTATGCATAAACATGAGGGCAAAACAACATTGTTAGGCAGCCTGAGTTCTGCAAGTTTTTAGCTTTTACTGTGTGGTTTAGTAGCTTTAGTGACAGGCCTGATAGTTGCAGATTCAGTTATAGATTTTTCAGTATGATAATACAGTTGAATTCGCACAAGTAGCAAGAGATAAGTATTTTGATCTCTGCCAAAGAATCAGCAAATGAACAAGTTATTTTACAGAATTGTACATCATTGTCAATAGGATATTTTAGAACCAACATTCACTTACCTGTGTGGTAACTGAAAACTGTCATATGGGCTGTTAAAATCACACAATTATGCACTTGGTCTTTTTTAAAGTTATTCATAAAGACAGTTTTGAAAGTCAAATCTATGAAATATCAAAATAAAATATAAAAGAGAAGTAAAGAATTTTACTTTTCCTGACCATAGTGTGTAATAATTGATATTTTACTTACCAATTAATGGGAAGTTAAGGCATTGTAATTTGGTTTTGTCCTTAGCTTCCAAAATGATCAACAATGTATATTTGAGGTACTTACACAGTCAAGTCATATCATTGGTGTTCTTTTGTTTGAAAAAAATCATTATGTTACCTTCTCTTAAAATTTAGAACCTTTTAGCACTTCCAGTGTGATAATCTTCTTAGGGAGTTTCTTTTGATGACCATTAAGACCATCCCTAGTACAGCAACATAAATTTTGCATTTTGGGATTAACCAGGAAACTTTTAACAGGATATTTAAGAATATTAGAACTTGCAGTGGTTCAAATAATATAGCAACAGGGTTATTTTAGCCTGAGGAGAAGCTCAAAGGTTTGTCTTGGTTTGTAATTCTTTGTCTGTCAGGAAAAAGGAGCAATGAATGAAGAAATGGTCAAAGCGGTAATAGGATTAGACCCTGTTGTATTACTTCTTTCTAGTAAATGTCTGACTCTTGTTCTCTCCAGATAGAGAAAGCCCACTCAGAAGTGGGGTTGGTAAATCTACAGGCAGGAAACTGCTGACTAAATAGCAGAGAGGAGTGTTCCTATATAGGAATAAAAGGTAATACTATTTGTGCTAAGAGCTTCTTGGAAAAAAGAAGGTATAAATTGGCTTTTAATATGTGCAATATTCTGCTTTCCTCCAACAATAGCCTATTTAATTAGAAGAGCATTTTTATGCCAGCATGCTGTGGTTTTGTATATTGCATGCTATCATAAATAGATTTAGGTGATGCCATTTCATATTTGGGCTGTAGATAAGGATGACTGAATATAGTTAATATGATGTTATCAATAACACTTCAGATATGGTTAAATGCAAAAATATTTTTCTTTTAAGTCCAGTAGGATATTACTTACTCAACTGTCCTTTTATTTTTCTAGGAAACAATGCCTCCACCATCACACACTGCATTTTCTGGCCACCATTTACCATTTGTGGGTTTCACATATACAAGTAGCTGGTAAGTTGAGAGTTCCAAACTTGTCTGTAGGATAGTTACGTAATATCTTGAGTTTCTCTGAAACCAACTACAGATACCAAAGAATGTGTTTTAGTGAGGAAATTACTAGGCAATAACCTACAATGCTGTCTGTCCAAAAGAATGAGCTCTCTCCGGGTAAAATTTACATAAATGTAAAGGTCAGCACCTGTGTTCAGAGGAGTTTTGTTGAGAAAGGTAGTTTTCAGACAATGTATGAAGTTAACTGCGTATGACAAAGTGAAGAGCAGATGTGTGGGCCCAGAGAGAACTTAGCTCATTAGACTTTAAAACCAATTTTATTTCTAGTTGTTTGACCCTCTTGTAAGTGTGAATGGAATTTTTTTTAAAAAGTTGCTTTTATTAATGTTTGGTTTTAATGTGGAATTTGTCATGTTAATCTCAATGCCGAATTAAACAGTAACGAGGAAGTCCACGTATCCTCTTTGATCATTTATAAAAATAAATAAATAATGTTTCCAACCATTGAAAAATCAGCCCTATGTTTCTGCAAACACATGTGCTTAATGCTGGTTATGTGACGTGTCCTGTAGACTTCCTGTTAGACTAGTTGTATGCGTACATGAGTATCCACAGAATCAGAGCCACAACATTTCTGATACGTTTATGCCCTCATTGTCATGTGATCATTTCACACCATTTGTTGTGATTGCTGTGTTTAAAGTGTTTGAGAAACTTGATTAATTATTTTAAGATAAACTTATTGTAATCTTACTATCTAGATTGTTGCTTTTTGCTATCTGACTAATGTTGACTGTCCATAATGATAACATTTAATCAGGAGTTCATTCACTTTTATGTAACAAAAATTGCACTAAGGAGATCAGTAATGCTAGGTAAAAAGTGAATTCAATTTTTAATGAGCACATACTAACAAGGTATTATTTGACTGTATAATAAATAACATGGTAATTAACAATTTAAACAACTATTAATTTATTGCTTTTTTTAAAATTATTATTATTATTTTAAACACAGCCTATTGTAAAATCCAATACTGTTTAATTTTTTCCCCCTAGTGTACTTTCAGACCGCAGCTGTCTAAGACTGACAGCTGGACCACCCTCCATGGATCTTGACGCCAGCATTCAAAGAACTTTGGAGGATAGTTTAGCAACAGAAGCTTATGAAAGGAGAATAAGACGTCTAGAACAGGAAAAGCTTGAACTTAGTAGAAAACTACAAGGTATAGTAATTAAATAAAAAAATCATTCAGTTGCTTTTTTTGACTTAGATTAGCTTGCAGCTTTGTAAGGCATGGTTTATACTGTGGGAAAAAAAATGAATACGCATCCTGGAATTCTTTCTAGCAGAAAAGAATTCTCTTCATTATTTCTGTTGACAAATTCAACTTTTGTTAGTCTTTATGCCTGAAATATCCTATGCGTGCAGCTTCCTATAACACACTGACTTTGTTCACACCGTGCCTTGTTTATGATGGCGTAAATATTTCATTCTTAAAACCTCTGAGAACTTAGTTTGTCCAGCTGACAGTTACTGAAAATTTGGCACTTGGTAGTTCGAAATTATAAGTTGTAGAATCCTCAGTGGAGGGTCTTTTGGCATGTCTTAATTTATCAGTAATATCTTCTTGACCTCCTCAGTTGTCAGGCATGTAATTTGCCACCTCCCATCTTGTTCTAGAATCCACCCAGACAGTCCAGGCTCTGCAGTATTCAACAGTAGATGGCCCAATAACAGCAAGCAAAGATTTAGAAATTAAAAGTTTGAAAGAAGAAATTGAAAAGTTGAAGAAACAGGTAACAGGTATGTTATAAATATTAACATAAAAAGTGTAACAGGAAACAATATTTTGACAATATTTTTTTTCCTAATGTAATGCTAGTTTTGCTTTGCTTTACGAAAGACTCTTCCAGTCTATTTTTACTTCTTATTTTACCCTTTGCTCTTCATTGGTAGCTCAGTATTTTCTACAAGTTGAACTTAATATTCATCACTTCAGTAATTCCAGTTGCAAGGGAAAAGGAAGATTTCAGTGACTTCTGCTATTATCATTAGTGGTGAAGTTCCAGTAGTTTTAAATTACAGTGTTGCTAATTTACATGGATATGAATCAGGCTGTACCTGAGAATCTGTGAAACCATGACCAATTTCCTCAGTACAGTTTCCACTTCCACCCCCATCCACCCCCCTTCTTCCTGCAGTGTGTACTGCAAGAGTGGATGGAACACTTGTTTGGTTATTTTTGGCAGTATCAAAAGTCACTGCAGTCTTTTCAGAAGTCACAGTCACTGTAGCATATCTTAGCATTCCTTGCTCTGTACTTTTCTGCACGCTGGTATGCAGGTACATAGGTAGTAAACTAGAAGGAAGAAAGGTGGTGTTTCTTGATTATGTGAGTGAACAGGAGGTCTGAAGAGTTTAGCCTAGCAGTTTTAATAGTCTTAAAAATATTTGGTGGAGGGATGATTTGTTATGATTTAAGCATCAATTGATCCTTTTTGTTGTCTCATTTTCTGTTGATTTTGCCACAGAAGGACCAAATTTGAGATGTGATCACAGTTTTGATTATATTTTCTTTGAAACCATAGAGGTTTACAGTGTGCTGTTACTTAGTGCATTGTAACTGGATGTGGAATAAAAGCTAGTTCAAACTGGTGATGTGGTTTTCTGAGTATTTTCTTGGAACAGTACTTTTAGAAAAGTGTGGGTTATCTGGGAGGGGGACTGTGTGCGTAAAACTACAGTGATACTGAGTTTTCCAAGTGGCAGGGAGTAGTGAAGGGTGCTTTCCATGAGAGGACACTATGGGCTATAAGGCTGAGGTTCCATGAGCAGCAGAAAAGACCAATCAAAACTCTGCCACCAAAATGGGTCCTGATCACAGCTGTGTAGCCCCTGCTCTCTCTGTGCATGCCCCAGACTCTCTTGACTTTAATTCAGTCAATTAAACAAAGAATAAAATATCTAGGTACAGAGGATTTAATCAACTTATGATTTGATAAATCAGCACAAGGTGGGCAATAGGAGCATACAAGGAAAGGGAGGTAAGAGGGGAAAGAACCACCTCTCAGCTCTGCTGTCAGTAAGTTATCTTTTCTTACAAAACTGAGTATTTGTTTCCTCTCTGTTTAGTTCCTTTGCTTCTGAGGGTTCATGAAGGTTTTATAACTAAAAATTTGGCTATCAAGTATCTCACTACTCTAAGTTTGAAAAGTGTTTTTGAAATCTGTACAGATAAAGAGCTGAATTTCTCTAATTAATGTCATACTGCCTTTCTTTATAAATTCCAGATCGGTCAAAAAGCAAAGATCTGCTTAGCCCAGTATCCTGTGTCTTTACAGAGGCTACTGGAGACATTTAGGGAAAGATTCAAAGAAATCCATCTTTTTGCAGCCTTGCTCTCCTGGATTCTGGAAACTCATGTTTTGAGAACTTCCAGAGAGGGAGCTTCTGTTCTTGGTTTGGTGTTCTGCATTAGGTTAAAGGGAGTTTTCTCTTGTAGTGATTTCATGGCATAGGACTTATGCTATCCTGCTCTGTCATGGTTTCTTCAAAATAGGATCTTGAAAGCAGAGACATCTTCAAAGGAAAAGAAAGGAAGTACAGCAAGATGGTTTTTATTTAGGAAAAACAGCAAGATTGATAGAGACTGTTAGGTGTCAGGACTAGAACCACAGAAACAGGGAGGACAAATCTGATTCTTGTCAGTTGAAATAGGAAAATGTCTGCATTTTATGTGAGGGAAAAATCAGACACAAGTAGCAATAGATGGAGCTCTATTTTTATGTCCATTTTACCTGTGGCAAGGGAAGAAAATCTAGTGAGAAAGGTTGGAGGAAACTACAAAAAAATATTTGTTCTGGTTTGTATTTGTGAAAAGACTTAATTCAGTTCCTGAAAGTGGCAGGAATGCCAGCAGTGACACCCACAGAAAGAATAACTTCAACTTAACTTCCAGACATTTCAGTTGGTGTGTTTAGACTCTGCTGCTATGTTATAGGACAGAAACGGGCTATATATGAACTGCAGACTGCAGCACGTAGATTATATGCTGTTAAAATTGCGTAGTCTGAAAAAAGTCTGAAATACAGCAGTTTTGTATTGTACCATAGCATTATTTTTGTGTATGAACATGGCTTAATTCTAGCTCGGGGAGGATCACTCTGGTTTGAGTGATGCTATATTGGCGCCACATCAGGACAAAGGTTTTTGTGAAGTTTGTCTCCAGCCAAATGTCCCTCCACTTGCTGTAATGAAAAAGACAACATGATCAGAAACCTCTGTTCTGCAGCAATCCTCAGCTCTGGTTTTGGCTCTTTGGGATCCGTGAAAAGCAACATCTACAAGAACAGCTTTTCTATGGGACCAGCCCTTCATGGAAAAGCATCAGAATCAGCTTTAAATTATATTTTATTCTTGACTAGTGAGCTGCAACTTAGATTTTAGTTCGTTACTGAAGGTATTACTCTCTTCCCTTGGTAATAAAAAAAAAAAAATAATAAAGAAGTGTGGGAACATTCCCCAGCACAACTAATATCCCTTTTCAAATTTAAAAGAAGCCAGTTTCTGGTGGGGGCAGTTAATACTGAGAATGTTTTCCCTTAAGTATCCGTTATGAATTTTCTGCTTCATGCCACATATGTATTTGTGTATTTATTCCTTGATACAATATGTGCTTTTGGTTTTGGGGTTGGAAATGAATAATGTGATAAAATGAGGAAGATGTAGAGTTGTCTAATCCATCCCCAGTCAGCACATAGCTTTCCCAGTATGTACTTGAATGCCTTGTCTGGTCCAGACAATACAGCCATTAGTTAGAAGACGCTCATTTGTGCCTGAAGCTGTAACTAATACAAGCTAATCTGATAAATTGGGAAAATAGAATGTTGTATTTTGCTTGATTTTATGGTTTTTTTTTGTGAGATAGATTTTAAAGCTAAATTAATGACAAAATAAGGGCACGAACCAAGTGACGATCGTATTTGAATGCTTCCGAATATAGAGGAGCTAGTTCCAAGTTTTCTGGGTGGCCTTCAAAATATCTAAATTTCCAAATCTAGGTCTGATGCACTTTAAGAAGGTTCAGTTCAGGTGCAGAGCTGAACTTCATGCTTTGGGCTCATCTCTTGGCAATTAAATGTAATGTAATAACATCCTACAGTGAGTGTTTGCATGTGTTGGCTAAAATGTTAGCAACAACTATGGTGATTAGATGGAAAATTACCATTTACTACACATATGTCACTATTCTTTAACATATTTTACTGCCTCTTCTGGAGCTGTAAGAGTAAACACCTGCTTAAAAAGGTAATTAAAAATGAACATGAAATTTTGTCAAGTTCAGGGCTGTCACCAGGGGGACCTTAGAAAAAAATATTTTTCTTCTCTATCTAGTTTTCCAGGAAATGACAAGCTAGCATATGCTTTCAATTTTTGAGGTCAAAGCTATAATTTTTGTTCACTAAGTTACATAGGAGAAAACTTTGAGGAATCTTTAATATTGCCAAATATGTAAAGGGCAGCTATGGAAGAAGAAAACAGAGCTGTGGAACAAAGTAGTTCATGCACGGAAGAGAGGTTTATCTTGGCTCTGTAGAGCTATATATAAACTTTCTTTTTGCTAATGACTTCAGAATAGACTATATAAGAGAGTCAGTTAATTTCTGGCTTTGAGCTACATCTCTTATTTAAATGCATTCTTTTAAATTTAAGAGTCAATGAATTAAAATAATAGAGAATATTTGTCTGTGTATAAGCTAATGGTATTCATTTGCTTTAAAAATTCTTGTGTTTCAGAAATTGCAGCTCTTAGAAATGTATGTGTTTTTATATTTCATTTCTTCAAGAACCAGTCTCTTAGGATTGCATTTATGAAAATGTAGTAAAAGGCTCTTATTAAGGGTATAGATGGGTTACTGCTCTGTGGGTAAATACATACAGTCTGAAGGCCTGCCACAAATGAAATCAAAGGCAAAATGTCTAGTGATTTCACAGAACTTGGGATTAACCTACCTTCATATATATATATCTTCCTTTAAATTCCTGTGTTCCAGTGAAAGGCTAAAAGGGGAAAAAACCCCACCCACTAGCTAGAAATGTTTGCAATATTTTACGGATTTCAACTTTTCATGTTGTAGTATTTGAGCATGCTTATATGATATTATTTAGCTGTGGCATAGAAATGTAATGTCATTGTATAACTGACAGTTGGTAAGAAACTGACTGTAATAGTTTTCCTATATTTATAGTAGTAATAAAGCAGATCACATAAACACAAGTGTTTTTCACACTAGAAATAAGTAAAATCATGTGAAGTTAATTTTAAGTGTATCAACAGGAGACCGCTTGCCAGCTCTTGAGCGACCCATTACTTTTACTGTTTCTTTCTGAGGGAATTTGGGGAGAGGAGGGAGACTGTTTATAATTACAGTGTAATAAAAGATGCATTATATCTTACATCACGGTGCATAAAAGTCAAATGTATAGGTCATATTAAAGCATACATTACAGAATTAGGTATAGTGCATGATTATTAGAAAGTGAAAAGACAAGTTGTTACTGTTTTCTATGTTGTTTTGCAGCAAGCTGTGACCTCTTATTCTGTTCCATTAAAAGTAGATCATGGCAGTTGAAACAACTACTCCGTATTCTAAACCAGATAAGAATTGTATTATTTTGTGACTGAATGAAAACGAGAACAAATACTGAAGGGGCTTCAAGCAGCTAGACTGTGCTATTCTAGAATAATGATTTTTTTTTTCCTTAACATATTTAGAAGTCTGTTGCTTTTTCTAGATTCTGGTCAACTAGAACAGCAACTTGAGGAGGCCAGCACTGCAAGGCGGGAGTTGGATGATGCTTCCAGACAAATAAAGGCTTTTGAGAAACAGGTCAAAACGCTGAAGCAAGAGAGGGAAGATCTTAATAAGGTAAGGGCATTTTGTCAGCAACTCTTCTAAATCCTGAAGACTACTTTATTTTTCATTTTGCTTAAAATAACTTCCAAGTGTAAAATTAATGAGCAGACAACAAATATGTAGCATGACCTACTTTGCTTTCTGCCTGTTTTTAGAAGACAAGGACATTATTTAACACGTTATGTTTATGACTGCTGAGTGGTCCTAGGTGACTGCTTCCAGATAATGAACAAAATTGCATGGTGTCTGCAAAGAAGGTTTTCTAGCTTCAGATTAAGCTGGTAAAGATAGTGGTTAGAAGACAGAGTAAAGAAGAACTACTCCAGAAAACTAGTTTAATCTTATGCAGGGGTGAGACTGTAGCAGGGGAAAAAAAGTTAAGAATATGGTGTTAAGGCTGTATCACAGAAGTGTTTCCAGAAGAGAGATGTGAAAAGTTGCCCAAATACGAAGATTGAAAACTAATTTCAAATAACTACAGTTAACGAATACTGTGTTTTATTTCTTCTTCTGTCTCCTTGATTCCTTGTTTTATTTATAACCTACTGACTTACATGGCCCTTTTTTGTTTTCATGGTTAAATCAGCCTGTGATCAGGTGTGTGAAATACATTAGCCTGTTTCTCATCAGGATTATATGGGCCCAGTATTTTAGAGTCCATGCTCAGTGTTGATGTGCCAGCTGTGTTTAACACTGTTTCTTTTAACCCTTAAGACTCTTAAAACCTTGAAAGCTACCAGTATTGTCCAAGAAAGACCATCTCTCTTCTAAAACAACTTGTAGTGATTAGGACCTCTTTTTAACAACCTTAAAAAATGCTTTTAAAGTTGTATAGATGTCAGCAGTGCCAAATATTAATTCTTCCTGCCGCTCTTCTTTGCTTCTCAGACTCGCTTTTCCTTGCTTCTCTGTTCTGCTCCGGTTTGGCTGAACATCATTAAACCATTTAAACTGTTGTGGTCCCTCATTCGTAGTGTAGTAGCACAGCTCTAGGACACGGCAAGCTTTGTGAAGGTACTGTGCTGTAGAGTCATCACAGCACTAGCAGTGTTACTTCATGCGGGTTCTTTTAAAAGAATAATTATCATATATTGCTGTTAGTCACTACAGAGTTTTGTTGCCTGAAATTTGCTGTAATATTTGATATTATGGTACAGTGTTTGGAAATCATGCTCACCATTGCAGGTCAGTTTTCAAAAGCTTCTGAAGTAGAAATTTTCATAGAACAGAGTTGCCATTTAATTAATGCAAAAACTTTTTAAATCATTTAGCAGTTGAGATAAGTACTATTCTTTTTATTCATTTAAGGAGTTCTTGAGAAACTATGCTAATGGCATTTTTTTAATTAAGAAAGCAAGGTATTTTTATAGTTTAATACAAGTGCATGAAAGCCACTGTGTTTAACCTGTAATAATGGAGTAAATTCCTACTTGGTTTACATTTATGCAGTTTTACTAACTTCAGTAGTGTAAAACCTGGCCTCTTTCCTTATTTATAGAGGCATACAATCTGTATCATAGATGCATTTATGAAAATAAATTCATATATAGTTTCTATTCACTCCGGAGAAGGTGTTAGATGCGCATCCAAAGACAGAATTGGCCTTGCAGCTTTCTAGGTTTATTACTTAATTCTTTTTTTAAACTGTAGGAACTGGCAGAGTCTAGTGACAGATTAAAATCCCAAGCCAAAGAGCTGAAAGATGCACACAGCCAGCGGAAATTGGCAATGCAGGAGTTCTCAGAGATGAACGAGCGGCTGACAGACTTGCACTCTCAAAAACAAAAGCTTGCCCGCCAGCTCCGAGATAAGGAGGAAGAAATGGAAGTGGTGATGCAAAAAGTAGAAAGTTTAAGGCAAGAGTTACGCAGAACAGAGAGACTTAAAAAAGAAGTAAGTGGTGAGAAGACTATTTAGAATCTATGAAATAAGTTATATGTAAGGTTTTCTGGCAAAGTAATTTTTTTTTATTGTCTGTAAATCATTAACTCTTTGTTGTTTCAATCAGTACCAATTTTGTTTTCTAAGAATTCAAAGTGTTCAGTTTAGTGCTGAAGTTTTACCTCATATTGAAAACCATCAATAGATTTTGGAAAAAAAAAAAAAAAGATTGAATACCTATTAAAAACGTATGTACTTTTGTAGCTGGAAGTCCAAGCTGAAGCCGCAGCTGCTGAGGCATCCAAAGACAGGAAATTGCGAGAGAGGAGTGAACAGTACTCTAAACAGTTGGAAAGCGAAGTAGAAGGGCTAAAGGTTAGTCTGTTTTGATATTAACACCTGCAAACTTACTAGTCAACTAGGACTTGGATCTGTTTGATTGCTTTCAGATGTAGGACAAAAGGGTATTGTCAGTTTGTCACTTGAGTTGATACTGAATATTAATGCCAGCATGCATCGCATTATTGTCCAGAAAAATGAACATTTGCCTAATGCACTTTTCAGACCAGTACGTTCACTGTTCACTGAAGTATTTCTCAATACTCAATGATTTCTTACCAAATTGCTTCCATTATTACTTTATTTAACTTTATCTGTTAAAAGCATTTTGGATTTTTTTAGTGTAGAGTGGTTGAGTATTTCAAGATAAATCTGCAGCCTATGCAGGTTCCTGCGTAGATGTTTTGTGTACTGTGTTGTTCCTCAGTGTGTCAGTCAAAAGAAATATGATTTCCTTCACAATAGATGTCAACTGATGTAACTATAAAGAAAAAGTTTTAGTGTAATTCTGCCTCTCAGCCAGAAGTTGAGACGTTTTTGCACAAGAACGGCATTGAGCATGAAGACTTTGTTTATATTGATGAGACTGCTTACACTTGTGTGTGCTTTTTTAGGGGCAGAAATTTAAGTAAGCCAAGGATGTTAACTGTTATTTTATTCTATAATTCAGCATTTTATATGCTGCTCTGAAGAAATCAGTTTTTTTCAAAAATTGAATGAGAAAGTTTTTCATTTCCACGTGAGGATTGCTGTTCATTTACAGCAAAATCCTGTTCCCAATGTTTTGTCCAGTAGGATAATTTTAAACTTTTTGTGCAAAATGTCAGATTAGGCCTATTCTGGTATTAATTTAATGAATAACAGGGTTTTTTTTAATCAGAATTGTGTGGAACATTTGTCAACATCAAGTCACTGCACAGAAAATTTGGGGTTATTTTGCAAACCTTCTTTTATTTTGCCTCCCTTGGTTAAATGAAAACAAGGAAATCCATTCAGTATGAAGTTTGGATTTATAAAGTATCTGCTGCTGTGGATTCAGATTGTTATCTGAAAATTAAGATGTATTTCTTCTGCTTTCATAGTTCTTCACCACCAGCAATGAGTGAGTTTGACAGTTTGAGGCGAGAAGAATTTATGGAGCTCTATTGAGAATAAATGATAGGCTGATTTATAACAACAGGGCAAGTTTATCAGGAGAGGAGAGGGGGCTTGTAGCTTTTTTAGTAATGTTTCACAGTACACTAAGCATACTTAGGATCACGTGCAGTTGTTGTGATGCTGCGTTATCCATTCAGTAGAAGCTCTGCGTAGCGCCTCAGTTAAGTTCAGGAGGCTATCATAGAGAAAAGGTCAATATGTAACGAAAAAAGGAAAGTTTCTCCAGATAAGGAGACTGGAGAAGCCCATAAATGATGGCAGGTTAAGTGTAAAGAGAATTTAGAGACCACCTTGCAAAGGATGTTCAGAGTGATTGTGAGAATTTCTTTTAATCAAAAACAGAAAGCCACCTTAGGAAACTAATGGGGCTGCTTGTTGACATGGATGAAAAAAGTAATCTCTGAGTTGATAGGGCTGTGGCAGAAACGCTCAAGTTTTTGGTGTGTCAGACTTTACTGCTGAAGCAGGGGAGATTGCCACACAGAGTACATGCAGCAGGTTGGTCAGGTGAGCGGGCTCAGTCTGAGGATGATGCGCAGGAAGCGTTAGAGCTGGCAGGTGAGTCAGATGTGAAGTCACCCAGACTGGTGGCCTCACTGGGGGGGTTCTGAAGGAACTCCGGTGAGAAGTAAGAGAGCTGCTGGCCATGGTGTGCACCCTCTTATTGCGAACGGCCCACTGTGCCACTAACTCTCATGCAGAAGATCCTGGGAAGTGCAGAGGGGTGAGTGGGACTTCCTTAGGAAAGGGCTAGAGGCTGTAGTAAAGAATAAGGTCAGTGAGCTCAGGGATGAAGTGGAGCCTGTTGGGAGGAAGGCAGTGTGCCTTCTGTCCAGCCAAGTCCTGCAACACTGACCTGCTGTGGTTCTGCAAAATTGTCAGTAAGTGTGTGGGCAAACGACATCCAGTGGATGCTATGTATTTGGATCTTAAAAAAAAATCAGACTTAATATGAGTCAGCAGTGTGCCCTGGCAGCCATGAGGACAAACAGCATCCTGGGGTGCATTAAACAGCATCTAAAATCGAAGTGCCAGGAGATGCATTATGTCTCAGTTCCACCATTTGTCCACTTGAAACAGGCATGTATGAAAACATCTGTTTGGAATTTGTGCTTACATCAATTCAAAATATATTCTCTGTTTCCTATATTACTTCTAGTTCTGTAAGCCACTGTGCAATACCATATAGCTTTCTCTTCTACTACACTGTCTGTCTTATGGTCTTAATAGTGTCTTTTAATTGTGGGGGGAAAAAAAAGGTGAAATACCACCGAAACGTTTTCCATACCAGATAGCTGATGTTGCAAAATTTAAAGTATTTATGTGCTCCATTGTCATATATGTGTAGGCAATTTGGCATGCTGGGCAGTAACAAACAAGTTCAGCTGTTAACTCCCTGTGCATGACAGAAAATTATTGTATTTCCTCTTTTTTTATTTTTTTAAAATCTTTCTTTCTCCAAGCCATCTCCCATTAGGATGACATCTTCTTTCTTCAGTTTACCATTCTGCATCCTAAGGGCAGGATTTAACTCTTAGATCAAAACAGATGGTCGTTTTGATGAGTTAGAGAAAACAACGTGGAAGCAGCACATATCTGGCTCACACATTTAGGGGGCTTTGCAGTGTTCTGCTGACACTAACAGCAAGGCCCAGCTTTCTCATAGAATTCGTCATGGTAGAAATTCAGCTCATCTGAAAGTTCTGCAATGACATTTAGATCTTGAAGTCTGTTCATACATCAGCAGAATAAAATTACCCAAAGCCATGGTAATTAAGGGTGACTAAGAGAATTTTAATATCTCATGGTAAGAATGGAGGTATAATTAACAAAATGTCTTCGATCCTCCTAAAGGGCTGAGACTGTCACTGTAAGGAAGTAGGGTTTCCGGCTACCTGCAGGTTTTTTTTCAAAACACAGTGTTTTTACGTAATTTCCTTTCCTTAGACTACCTTTAATTACAAAGTCAAAAAAAAAAAAATTCCAAACCAAGTTATACATATGTTTACATGAAAAAGTATTTCCAAACTTGGATTTCAGTGCATGTCATGCCACTCTCATTTTGAACCTGATCTTGCTCCTCCTCTATGTTATGGCAGGACATTGGGTTTAGTGAGTGCAGCATTTGGTGCAAATGTGTATGTATCCTGAAGCAGTGTGTAAAGACTATTGAAATGCCAGAAGACCTCACTAAGAGAGCTATGCAGCTGCGAAAAGTGAAGTAATTACTCTTATTGTTTAAAGCTTGTTTTTCCTATTAATCTACTATGATGTAATTGGTCAGTTTAGTAAAATAGGTCAGGGTTCCCTCCTGACTGATGCAGTTCATATAGTTTTTCTGTAGATAGGCCTTAGCCTTCAGTTACACCTCTGCTTGTCTTAGTATAGCATTTCCACAAATTATTTGTGCTTTAAAATATATTGGCTGTATATCATAGTCCTTATTCTGCATTCCTGAAAGTCACTTGAACTCGTTGCTGTCAACTGTGTGAGTGGGAGCATAAAAATCTTCTAATTCTGTGGTCATTTTCTGACTCTATATAAGGTGAGTCAGAATGTGGCCAGAGATGTTTAAAGGAATGATCAAATTTTCAATGACTTGAAAACTATTACTGCATTTAAATCACAGAATTATAAAAGAGTACAGTTTAGATTTATGCTCTAACAAATTGTACAAAAAAATTGAGATAGATATGTTTAACTCGAGTCTGTAGTGGGGTAATTTCTAAACACAGACTTATGAATGTTGAGTTGCTATTAAGGATCATTCTCAGCATTCTTGAGTGCTAACTTGGGGCTGTTTATTTTAGCAAAAACAGGTTGGTCGCTCACCTGGGGTAAGCAGTATAGAACACCAGCAAGAGATCACGAAATTAAAGGCAGACCTGGAAAAAAAAAGTGTTTTCTATGAAGAGGAACTATCTAAACGTGAAATAATGCATGCTAATGAAATAAAAAGTCTGAAGAAAGAACTGCGGGATGCAGAGAGCCAGCAGCTTGCCCTCAAGAAGGAGATCATGATTTTGAAAGACAAGTTGGAGAAAACCAGAAGAGAAAAGTGAGTATTGTATTATTGAATGGAATTTACCCTTAAGCTAGAAATGTCTTTTGAAGTCTCCCAGTATGTTTCCAAACACACCATCACTTCCTTAATGGTAGTGCAGACAGGTGCATTTTGGCTGAGCTAATGCCACAGTTGAAAACAGTCACCTTTAAAAATAGAACCAAAAAATCCACATCCCTGTTCCAAAACAGTTAATTTTGTACCAGAATTCTTGCAATGGCTGACCATTCCAAGGTATGTAACTTGAGTTGCAGACTGGCAGCTCAGCATAAGTCAACCCCTGAAGCATATGTTGCAGTTTAAAATAGTTTTCTGACATTTTTTTTCTCTTTGGTATTTTCATCTTTTGATGCAAAACTACTGTGTTAGAGATCAACTATTGCTTACATTTCTGCCAGCACAGGAACAGTCACTTAATGCGGACTAAGGCTAATCCATGCTGGGTTCCATCCGGTGTTAGCATCAGTCATCAGACTACTGTAGGCATAAGCTGCTTTATCTTTTCTGACACGGTAATTTGTCAGAGACCTGCTTTTTTCTCTCCCACGTGGTGAAGCTTATAACTAGCCTTGAGAATATTCCTTGAGGCATTCATCAATAAAACAATTTTTTTCTGTTGGATAGTGTCATAATGGAAATGGTCATAAATTGAATGTGTTCATTTTCATTCATAAAAAATTTAGAATGCTTTATAGGCACTAACATAGATGCTGCTGTAGCAAGATGACATATTAGAAAAAACATGGAGAAGTTCCTCCTGAAAACTTAGCCAAACTGTAGTGAGTCCTTAAATAAGTAGTAAGTAAAATACAGAATTTTTCAAAAAAGCTTATGCAAACAGAGGTGGAAACACTGCTTCTCTGGCAAATTGTTTCCAGCCGGGGAAGTAGATCATACAGCCTAGAATGCAGTGGATGAACTGTTTCTTCCTAGAATGCAGCTATTCATAGGCTGGACATACTAGCACAGTAGTTTGCTGCTTTGTTCTAGGTTGAGAGGCAAAATTTGCATCAGCAGCATGTTTTCATTGTACCACAACTTAATGGACTTGCTGACCTAACCAATGCACAAAAGGCTCTGCTGTCTTGTAATATATGAAGGAGATAGTATGATACTCCTTTAATGCCTTCTCAGTCCAGTAGTATCTCAAAAGGAGGAGGAATATGCAATAAAGAATCATTAACACATCTTTCTGCAGGCTAAACTGTTGCTAAAGGTCATACCTCCAAACACTGACCAGACCAAAAACTCCTTGGAGATTTACCAGAACCATTCTAATGTTGTACAGCTGCCAGAGTTCTAACTAAATGTCCATCTAGTAGAGTAACAAATGGCCTAACAATGCTGATCTGCTTCATGCTAGCTAGTTCATAAACCTTCTTTCAATCTAGTTTCGCTCTATAAATAAAAAAAGAGCTGGATGCAAATCTAAAATGAGTGCTGACATAACCACGTGTCTCTGTATGTATTTCAAGTGTTGGTATAAGAGAATGTTTTAAAGCATGAACAGAAATGTGTCATATAAGCAGTATCCAACATTTGGCTCTTAACGGGAAGGGCTTCAGCATCATACGAAGTCAGCTGTCCAAGCACATGATGAATGATTAACGAAGACCTGATCTTAACTGGGATTTGTCAAACAGATCTGCAGCATCTCATTCAAGTATTGAGACTCCACAGAAATGCAGAAGTCTGCTGTTGAAGGTGTACTATGGATTGACTTCTGTAGTAGTTCAGGGATTTAGAAGGGAAGCTTAAGTATTAGGAATGGAAGAATTTCCATTGCTGCTCGATTCTCATTATTTGGTAATTTTTCTTAAGAGAACATGGATCACTTTTTTTGTTTCTGCTTACACATATTGGTTTTAGCTATTGTAATCAGACATGCAGAGTTTTTTGTGAGTCTTCCAGTACAGAGATGTTCAATGTAAGCATTGAAAAGGAAGCACCTGGAGGCTTTATGCTGAAATAAGTGGAATTATTTCAACAATAGGCTTGGGGTGGGTGTGAGGTTGAAGTGTGTGCATACAGTTTGGCAAAAAAATTTTAGTAGTCTAAAAATAATCTTTAGTGCATAGTTAAAAAAAAAAAAAGGCTTTGGTGAGAGGATGTGGTTGCATTATTTCATAAGGGCTATAGTATAGAGTGAATGACATAGGTTATTCTAAGCAAGAGTTAATAAGAGCTTGGTCAAAATCAGTGTGTACTTTTTAAATGTAACTTGCATAATGGTGGTTTATGTTTTACTTCTAAAAACAGGTATTTTTCCTTTGTTTCCTTCAAATTTAAGCTTGCTTCTGCTATTTCAACAGCACAAGTCTTCAAGAGAGAGAAACTATCTTTCTGTACAAAATGATTGCCTTTTACTAATGTCTCATAAACTGCATGCCAGTAAAACTGGGAATGTAGGAACACAGTATCAGGCCAGTGATCTGTGTAGCATGATACTCCATTTCTTAGAATTGTCATTATGAAATATTTCAGAAGAAGGTGCAAGAAACTGTGTAAAATAAATCATGTTTGTAGAAGTTTCTTTTAAGTCTGTCATTTAATAATAGATTTATAAAGCAGAGAGCTTCATAAAACAGTGTTTGCTGTTTTTAAATTGTGTGATATAAAGAAACCTGGGAGTTGGTGTTTGTTTCAGGTCTACTTTTCTTGGTTTCAAAGCAGTAAGATAAAATATTTTCCCACTTTGTACAGCTGCAGTAAAGAGCTGGAGTGACAAAGTGATACCATAAAGCTGTATTTCACATTGCTTGCATGTGGGTTGCTACAGTTATTTTACTGATAAAAAGAAAGGTGGATCATGTAAGGTTTCTTAAACTTGAAGAGCAGATACATAGCTAAATTTTAGATGAGAGAAAAAGCTTGATGGGAGAGGAGGATGCCAGGCTTCAAAGCAAACATAGTATTTTGATCTTCCTGGCTGTCCAAGGTACGCCTGTGGAGACTGCCACAGTTCTGTGGTTTGCTGAGTTGATGTTTCAGTATGATAGATTATACCAACGTTCTCCTCTGTTTAAAATTTATCTTAGTTTCTGTATTATACTATAGCAATCTGATTTACTGGCTTAAGTGACAATCACCGTTGGAAGTAAAAACATAAAATACAGAAAACTACAAATATGTTGGGCTCTTTTACCAATCCAAAGCTTTCTTAATGCACCACCATTTATGGCTCCTTTGAGCCTTAAAGCCTTAAAAGAAACTTTAGACAAATGCAGAATAAAAAACCCTAAACAAAGCCATAAAAGCCAAATAAAATAAATTAATTTAAAATTAGTTTGGTGTATTCTCTGAGAAATTAGCTTTGAATCTATGCCTTGCAAACAGAAGCAAGACCTGTTATTAATTCCCCTGACAGCCAGTGCTTTAATCTCTTCCTGCCTTTTCCCTAGACTGCTCATCATATGCATGGAATCTGTTGATATAGAAAAGGAGTGGTGGTGAATTTCAAACTTGGCGTTTAAACAGTAACGATAGTATGTTACTTTACTAGGAGGTAGTGTTATGTTTCAAAGGATGCCTAGCAACATAGAATTTCACCATGAGTTTAACGTGCTGTACTAGATTTCAAAGAGCGGTTGAAGCACTAAATGAATTTCAAATTAGGAATAGGAAATTCAAACCAGCACTACTCTTAACTGGGTGCACTGTAACCGCTGACACTTCTCATATTTTAAGGGTGTTCTCTCGGTTTGGCAGTTGTAGTTCTGCATCTCAAAAAAAAAAAAAAAAAAAAGGAGGCAAGGATGTAATTTCTCTGTTGTACAATGTAAAATTCTGACAGGTGTCCAGAAAAAAAATTGCAGTGCTCAGGACAAGGTTTCCTGTGGATTTTTATTTTTACAGAGTTAACCTTTTATACTGGGCACTTTTTCAAAGCTTTTAAGGTTGGACAGTATTATTTGCTGAATTAGTATTTACTGTATCTGTGGCATTTCTAGTATAGTTCCGTCGACCTACTGATGATTTTTGTGCCAGCTACCTGAATAATTGGTGAAATGGCAAATACAAGATGCAAATGTAGTGAATCTCAAAAGAGTAGTTGTGAGGTGGGAGTTATACATCTAAAACATTGCCATACACCACTTCAAGGAAATTACAGTGTTTTTCTGGCAAACAGGATCTGCAGCTTCATTTGTTTTCAGGTTCTCATATTTATTGTGCAAGATGCGAGTTGATGTTAAGCAGAATTAACCAGGGGTTCTCTATTACTGAATGACATCTGCAGGAGAAGAGAAAGTTTGGGGCAAACAGCTGCTTTGAAACTCTTTCTCAGAAAGAAGGGTCCAAACCTACTCTAGAATCTGGTGATATTAGGAGTGTATGGGTTATCCATCCACTTTTTACTGACAGTAAGTATATGGTACTGTTTGAATGTGTGCTCTGGCTGTTCTAAATTGTCCAGAGACTAGCCAATATAAGCTTTTCTCATCAGAGACCTAGCCCCAAGTGCTCTAATTTAGCTTCTGTATGTTCTGGTTTCATATGTGGTTATTTTTGCCTGTCATTTTGTGTGAAACTTGGAATTATAGAAATGACTTAAGTTAAAATAATGTTTCTGTGAGCTGAGAATTTACCCTGAGCCTCTTAGAATATTGACACACACTTTGGTCTGCAGAATTACAGCTGCTCAGGGTTTGAAGGATTCATCTGAACACTAAAATATGTGTAAGTGCATTGATAAACATTAGCTCAGTGGACCTCTGTTAATTCTGTACTGAAGGAAAGATTATTGTCTAATGACAAAATTCAGTAGACTGTCTTAAAGTCTGTCCTGAGATGGTAGTATAACACATTACTTGCTTAGTTTTCATAGGTTGTGGTATTACCAATGCAGTATTTCCCTTTCAGCTAGTGTGTGCATTGATCCTTATATTCACACGTAAATGGTGTGATGAGTTTTAGAAGAAGAAACTTCCTAATTCAGCTTCATTTTATTTCTTAGCCAAAGTGAGAGAGAGGAATTTGAAACAGAGTTCAAACAGAAGTATGAAAGAGAAAAGAATCTGCTGACAGAGGAAAACAAAAAACTTTCAAATGAACTTGATAAGGTAAGTGCTGATTAGTTGAGTCCTGAGTTTACAACTAATGTATGCTATGTACAAATTGGACAATATAGAAGTTGTATTGGTTATTATTAACTCTTAATTGATAGCAGAAATTGATATTACACAAAAAGTGGTGATTAATATTTGATTTGAATAGAAAGTATCTGTATGAATCTGAACTTGAGAATGTGTTCACGTATACATATATGCTTTTATGTGTAGGAATTGAGTTAGATGGTCTTACAGTTTGGAAAGACTAATTTTAGACAATATCTTAAGCAAAAAAAAAAAAAAAAATTTCATTGTATGACCCAAATATAAAAATACATAGTTAATGATGTAATTACTTAATGTATATTTGCATGTCAATTACTATGAAATAGTAGGGCCCCTCCCACCCATTGAGATTAAGTGTCACTTTGAGATATTAAAAAAATACAAATGATAAGGCATATTAATTGAAATGTGTTGAGCAAGGAATAATTATGTTTCATGAATTTAGATTATCTCTTTATTGTTCATTTTGACAGGTTATTCAGGTTCATTGTGGGTTAGCCAAGTCTTGCTGAACTTGTCTATTCTTTTTGTAATGCATTAAATTTTCTAAAAATATGATGAAAGTTTAGTGTTCTTCAAAGTAACCATGTTTGCATGTCAGTGTTCAAATTAAAGTATATTTTCATACCAGTATAAGATACATACTGTATGCCTATATGTAGGTTTAGTCCAAGAACAGTAAGAGACTAGTCATTGTGATAGTTTTTTTGCTTGGTCTCTTTTTTTTTTGGTTGGTTGGTTGGGTTTTTTTGTTTTGTTATGGTTAGTTTTGTATTTTTCTTGTCAGAAGACATTTAATAAATACATGTATTTAAGTCATAAGGCCATGTAAATGATAAATATGGAGCGGAATATTCGTATTAGGACTAAAAACCAGAATAGATTTAAAACTGGTATTTTTTTCATCATTCTGTTTTGTTAATATATTTCAGCACTAAAATAAGCTTCACATGAGATTCATTCTCCTAAGTAGGCCTTCCTATAAAGTCTATCTGATCTCTGATTCCAATTTGACTTTCTGAATAATTAGTTAACATAATGAAGGTTTAGTTCTCAATACCAACTCAGGTTAGCTGTGGCTTTTGTCTTGCAGAATGTGCATGTATGAGTGACAGCTATGTGAATGCAAGAGGTTAATTGCTAGGCATAACATGTTGTACTTACAGATATGCATTTAATTTCAATTTTCTTGTGTGCAAGTAAGTAAAATGAAAAATAGGGGTATGTGAGACACCTGGAGAATCTCAGAACTGACTCATGCCTGTATCTGTTAATCCTCTCATTCTCCATGGTTATTAAACAAAGGAGAGGTTTGGCAGTTTTATCTGAGCTATAACAGTTTTTGTGCCCTTACTTTGCTCTTTTAATGTAGTTTTTTTTTTTCAATTTAGAACATTCCACACCTTTATGATGCAAAGCAGAGTTCTTGTAAGAGTTGTAGCGGTATTTGGAGGCTAATTCTCAGAAAACTAATCAATTTGTTAGAGTAAAAATGCAGTTCTAGTCCTTAAAATTGGCCTTTCAGTACAGCTAAGGTCATATACGAGAAGAGATTCTGGCTTTTATTGTTACACGGTGTTTATTGTGATGGGTAGTACCGATTTTTAAAGCAGATGTGTGATGTGGGAGAAGTGAGCTCGTGGCTTTGTGTCTGCACAGAGATGGAGTCACAGCAGTTCATACCTCTAACAAGTTGTTTAAATTCTCATTCAGCTCACCACCATGTTTGAGAGGCTGAGTATGAATAACCGGCAGCTGGAAGAAGAGATGAGGGACCTGGCTGATAAAAAGGAGTCCGTGGCCCACTGGGAGGCCCAGATAACTGAGATCATCCAGTGGTGAGTACTCTGCTCTAATGTCATTGCAGGATCCCCCCAGTATGTGGTCGAGCTGTTGCTGTGGTTTTGCCTTTGTGCATGGCACTTGCAGGTGCTTAGGTGAAATCTCACACCTGTTTTGGATTCTGCTGTATTTTTGCTTGAGATTTTATTAGTATTCAAATCCAGAAAATTGTGTTCCTCCTTAAGAGCGAAAGTGTCTTACCAAATGCAACTTTTAAGTGCAGAAGAATCATGGCCACTGGGTGTGGCTTGTGGCTTTGGAAGAATACTGGAAGGAGTCATGTGCTGAGCTCACGCCTCTGAGAGGGACCAAGCCTGGGAAAAGCAGTGGCTGAGAGTGTTTGTGTCTCGGCATTAATTTCCTTCATCTGCTTGGCATGTGGCAGAATGAAACAAATACAGTGTAACTTTTATGTGATTTTTTACAAGGCGGGCATTTGAGACTACCGCAAAGCCAGTCAAGTGATGTTTCTAATAATACTTCTGCTAAATAGTGACGTTATGTTTCTAAAGTCTTCCGTCCAGTTCTAATAAATTAAGGGAAAAAAAAAAAAAAAAAAAAGAAACCATGTTGAAACTATTAAGAGAAAAAGATTGTTTTATCTAGGTGGCCTTTATTTTTCCTCTCCGTGCCTGCTTCTCTCCCCCTTTTATGGTCCATTGCAGTGTTTAGCATCTACAAAAACAGTCTGCATCCAGACATACTTCTTTTTTTTTTTACAGATCATCCACTTCTGGCAAGATTTCATCATCGTATACATTAGTCTTTATTTGGTTTACTACTTGATTTCCCCTCCCACCTCCCCTCATTTTTCACATCTCATGTTAGTGCAAAAGTCTAATTTGTTGTGTCAAAGCAAAAATGGGAAACATTTGTTTTAATGAAACCTAATTTGGTATTGTTGTAATGTCAGTATAATTTTGTTGTCCAAATACAGAGAAGTTTGGGTTTTGAACATAGGCATGTGAATGCATAACAAGAAAGAAGGGCTGTCTGGGTTTCTGGAAGGTTTTTTAAACAGTGTTTGTTACTTAAAATTATAATGCCTATCTGTCTTATGAAGTCTGTAGTGTCTCAAGGCGTTGTGTTTGTAGCAGAGGTTAAAAAATTTTAAAGGTCCATTTTGAGTGTGTTCCTTTTAAATTTTGTCTTTCGTAACTGTGAGTGTAATAGACAGCCTGTGCCACAGAAATAATAATAAAAAAAAAAAGTTGTTTAAATGAACAGTTAATTTCTAGCCAATCAGAAATGTTTATTCAGAAAAAAATCAAGGTAACGAGATACAAGTCTATTATTTCACATTCCATATTGTTTTAAGGTAATACTGATATGTCTTAATGGACCAAGGTAACCAAACTCCATTTTTCAGATTTACACATGAAAGCACTCATAAAACTTGGCCATTCTGGAAAAAGACAAGTCAGAATTAGTTGTGGATTGTTTTACTTAACACTATGTAAAAATGTCCCTTTTCCAGTTTATGAGAGTGCTTAATATTTTAAGATGTACTACTGATGTGGTTCAGGTATATGATAAAACATCTTGCCTGTATTGGAGATGTCACTCGGGGAGGGGTAAAAGAGGTTTGGGATTGATTTTTATTATCTCTAAAGATACTTAATGAAAAAAGATCAGGAGCATGCAAGACAAACTTTCTGAATGAAAGATACCATTTTGCTGATCCCTTATGATAATATAGTGTCTTTTTAAAAGTATGGAACTGAAAATTAAAGAATTATGTGAAAAGAAAAAAAAATAGGAGTACTGTGGGCAAACATTAAGGAGATTGAAAAAATCTGGCTTGGTTCCAGTTTTTAATCACTTTACACATCTCAGTTTTCCCTCCATACTTCTCTGCTTATGTTAAATTTTTTTCTTAATATGTTTAGAGTTTTTCATGTGTTACCCAGATAATCTGGTCATGTCCATCTGCTGTCCTTAGAATTCAGTTCTGCATACTGAAACTAGGACCTTCTCTGACAAATTTTTTTTCTGTGGAACATGGTATGTGATATATGAAGTATTTAAACATCTCCAATAATGATAAACATTTTAAAAGAAAAAAAACACACTAATTTTAAAGAAAGCTAATCTTATTTAATCAGTCACAAGCCTATGTTTTCCTCAGAAGAACATGCAATTTAAATCCATACCTGTCCCCTTCTTCAGTATGACAACAGAATGCCTTGGACATAACAAAGTAGGGTAGAACTTGCAGGTTCCCTCTTTGAAACTAACAGATTTTTCATATAATATTACTCTAAAATATGTATTTTGGGTACATACTCTCTACCTCTTAAAAATGAGGTTTGTCTACCATCTTCTCTTTTGTACCATGATTCATGAAGTATAGGAGGCAGTAGATGGAATTAACTACTGATTTTGTAAACAATTTGCTCAGCTGTCTATGGTGGTTCAAAGGGTTTGGTCTAGTCCTTTTTTAAGTAACACAAGCCCAGGGAGTCCCTTACTTCCTTTGGATGCTTTGCCATCTGATAGGTATCTCTCTCAGGAAATCTGCCCCACTATTCGAATCCGCATTTTGGGTGGCTAAGGTTGTTACATTCTTCACAACTCCTTGGGCCCTTCTAAATTACTATTTCTTTCAGATTTTGTAACTTGCAAGTAATTTTAACGGCCTATCGTGTTCCCTTTAGCCTTTGCCTGCTTTCTTACTGTGCTTTCTTGCATCATTTTTAGGGCAACTGTACAAAAGTGTTTTTATTTTTGCTGTTATCCCAAGATGCCATAAATACAGCCAAAATTTTAATATAAATACTTGAATCAAACTTCGATTGCAAATCCTAATGTGGTTGCAATAGACTCCCACAGATCATTCAGCCTTAATGGAGCTGTTATATTGACAAATTTATATTATCCAAATCACTCATCATTCCTTGACAAGAGTAAGAAATATTGAGGCTTTTATAGTCAGCTATAAATTTTCCTATGGGAGATAGGGAAGAGATTCATTGCACTGGAGGTTAATGCAGTCACTTTAAAAAGGAATCTTTTAAATAACCATGGTACTGTGATTCTGTTCTGTTGCAGAAAGGAGGTCGATGGAAATCTTGGTAGAGATTCCCAGAGTACTTGGAAAGAATCTTAACTTATTAGTCTCTCTGGGAGGATTCCTGTAACCTAGTTCTAGAAGTCCTAAGATAGACAACTAAAATCCCATGACTAGTACTGTAGAACTCTTTTCTCCCAACTGATTGAGAAGGAAGCCTAGACAACTAGTTCAAATGAAGAATTCTGTGTTGTTGATTATGTTTATATGGATGAGCTAAATCCTACCTGACTTACCTATAGAGTGGATGTTAGGCTTAGATTCAGCTGACCAGAAGCTGTGACTGTTGTTTACCAGAAGGTTCAGTTAATATTTTCCTTGATGACTAGATATTTTTCCAGTCAAATGTATTGAGGTTGATTTGATCCTAATTAATGATTTAATTAAAAAACAAACAAACAAACAAAAAAACCAACCTAACTTAGTCCAACACCACCACCCTCCATCCCCTACCCCTCCCTCCAGCACTTCTGCATTAAATCAAACATAAAAAGCCCCAAAGTTTTTGTCTTTTGGTGGTGTTTTTTTGGTGTTTGTTTTGGTTTTTTTTTTTTTTTTTTTTTACTTTTTAATCTGTTTGCTCTCAGAAGAAAGCACACAAATTGTGGAAAAGGTTTAGCAGACATTCTGGGCAGATTCAACTGTAAGAAACTCAAAACATGAAAAATTCTGAGATGTGTTTGAGGTAGGAATAATCAGAAGTTAATTATCTATAAAATAGAAATTGGAGAGGGCAGGGGGAAATTTCAGGGTTTGGGATCAGAGTGTGAAGTGTTAAATTTTTAGAGAAGTAACTTCAAAAAAGAAAAAAAATGTTGGAGAAGGCAGGTGGAAAAGAAAAAATGAAGTTGGAGGCTTTGAGCATAGTGATATGAAGACAAAAATTTAAAAGCATTGAGAAACTTCAGGAGAATTTGTAGTCATGGCTTTCTGATTTCCTTGGGTTTTTTAAATCAGGTAAGATTCAGCTTAATGCCAGGGCATTAAGGCTCCTCCTGCTCAGCAAAAATCTCTAGTCCTCTGGGTCCATTTTGTATTGTAAAGTATTCAGTATAGAGAGACCCAGAGAGTCTGACTTACCAAGCAGCGTGACAAATAGCTAACTAGATATTAGTCACTGGTTACCTGAAGGTTGTAGTGATGGTGGCTCCAATCAAAAAGTTAAATTTAATTCTACAGGAATTTGTACTATATCATTGTTCTAGGTTCTTTATAGTTAATGAACTAAGCTTGCAAGGGCACTTATATTATACATGAAAACAGAACAGTTAATCTAGTTAAATTTTCAGTAAAAACAGAAGTGACACTGACTGGAACCTGAAGAACTTTTCATCCTTGGTCTTCCGCTGTTCTTGTTAGGGCTCTCTGTAAGAAGGGGGGGCAAGGAGAAAAACACTAGTAAGAGTAACTTTACAATTCTTGCTCTATCTTTAAAAAAAAAAAAAAAAAAAAAGGCAACAAAAACACCCCCAGCAAAACAGTAATAAACCAAAAAACTCCAAGAGTTTCTGGCTTCACATAAAGTTTAATCAGTGTATCGTGTTATCAAGAGACTGTTGCCATCTAGTGGACAACAAAACTGCATCTCAGCTCCGTATTGTACTGCTTTTACTTACTGTCTTCAAAAGTCTGAGGAGTTTTCTTGAACTCGGTATAGATTTTTGCAAAAATTGACTTTATATATATATATTTTCATTTTCCAGATCTCTGCGTGTTCTGTGGAACATCTCTCTGAGTTTTTTGCATGTGCAGTTTTTCAGTGTTTAGAGCTTGATGGTTCTGTACATCATAAACCAAATAATCTAATTGCTTTCTCACCTTCCATAAGGAAGGCTCTATATGGCATGATAAAAATTGACAGAGAAACTGGACATTTGAAGTTTTTTAGCTCCAATTATAAAAGTTAAAAAGTAAAGCAGCAATTCAATTTTGGTTTTAATTTGACATTGTCCCTTTTTTTTTCTGCAGATACTTTATGTGTCACTAAAAACAGAGAGGATCAAATGCTAATTCCTAAATCTCTTTTCCCTCCTTGTGCATCAGGAAAGCTTACTTTCTCACACTGAGAGCCTCACCATTCTTTTAACTCCTGTTTACACTGCTTATTGTATATTTCATTATGCAGACCGCCAAAAGCATCTTATGCTTCTTCTCACATCTTTTGCCCACTCTTATACCCTAAGTGGTTTGTATAGGCCAAGATTATCTGTATCGGGTCATCAAAAAGTGTCATCCAAGATGTTACAGGAAAAAAAAAGTTGGTATACTGCTTCCATTAAGTTCTAGTATGTATCCCTTGGGAAGAATAGTGAGTCATTAATATCAAAACTCTCACTGGCTTTAATGGAGTTAGGACATTTGTTTTTTTCTAGGCTCCTTCTCATCTCTTGAACTAAATTGTAAGCAGGAGACAAAGAAGATAAAGACCAAAGCATAAATAAGCACTCACTTTTTCATGTTGGATGTGAGTTTTGTGGCAAATGGTTGCTAATTTTGCATTAGCCTCCTCTGTATTAAAGTGATCTTCCTTATATAAAACTTAAACTGCACATCCAGAAGTCACTGCAACCTGCAGATGTGGCAGTTCCGAGTACCTGCTCTCTGTCTTTTTTGCCTCCTGGTGACTGTCTATAAATCTTTGTTGAAACATTATATTATTTTTTATTTATAAATGGTAAACTTGCAAGTAGCACCATTTCTGTATTCCCTGTGTGTATGAACCTCACACTATGAACCAGAGAAACTTATATTGCTTTATAGTCACAGAGGGGAAATCACTTTCTGTGGAAATCTCACTGCGAGAAAAATTCAACCATCTGGAGAACTCTCATCTCAAGTCCAACATATTTGGGCTTACAGTTACTAAGGAAAGATCAGGAAGCGATGAAAAGTTAATTTCCATGAAAGAGAGAAACTACTTTCCCACTTCCCTATAAGTTAAACTACTTGAGGTTCATTGCGTAGAACACATCCTAAACGTTTCTGTGGTTAGTGCTGGTAGATCTAACTGTGATCAAGCTGTGGGATTAGACTGCTGGTCTCTGAGACCGGTTCAGAGACTTGGGTATGCCCTGCTGTTGCAGAACTGAGTTTGTTCTGTGGGCAAGCGGAGTATGTTCAGAGCCAGGTATGTAAGGTGAAAGGAAATGCACCTATAGGGGGCATGAGGGGTTGATTTTTTTTCTGTTTGTTGGGTTTGGGTTTTTCATAAGCTACATAGTTTCAGTGAAGTAATTTTTTAGCAACTTTCTTTTCTATGGTAATACCTGAGGCAAAGTGAAGAAAGAACCTTCTTTGATTAATCACAGAAAGTTGTTTTTTTTTTTTTCCTTTGTAGCTGATGATCAAAGAATTTGAAAAAGGGACAGGTCTCCTCCTTGATGTCTTTACACCCAGAAAACACATCTTGATAGAAAGAAAGCTCAGGAAATAAGAGAGCCTCTTCTGGCTTATGCTGTTTAATAACATTAGAATTAGACTCTCCCTATTTAATTAACGTTTATTGCAATAACATCACTGTTTGGTTCTCACTACTAGTTCTCATAGTCAGTTGATAAAGTCAACTGATAGCTCCAATATTATGTGGAAAGTTAAATTGTTAATTATTGGTTATAAGTTTTTTTTTCTTAATTTACTCCCTAAAAATAGGTTAAATCCTGAAAGGTTTCATTCCCACAGTCTTAATTTCAGGTAGCTGACATTTATACTGAGACATATATTATTTACTTAGAGATGTAGTTCTTCAATCCTTATTTCTGTCTTAGTGATGTGTATTGCTTAATAGAACTCTGCAAGCCAGCAAAAGGTTGGTTCTGTGTGGTTTTCTTTATTGGTTTTCTTTTTTTCTCTCTCTCTCTCTCTCTTTCTTTCTCTCTCTCTCTCTCTCTCTCCTCCTCTCCTTTTCTTTCTTTCTCTTTCATTTTATGGTTTTTGGTTTGTATTCTTCTTTTTTGTCTGTTTCTGGTTCCTATTTTGTTGAAGGGTCTTTTCCTTTTTTCTTCAGATTCTTTGATTAAAACACTTTTTTCTTTTTATGTAATTGTTTAGGGTAAGTGATGAAAAAGATGCTCGAGGTTACCTTCAAGCCTTGGCCTCTAAAATGACAGAAGAACTAGAGGCCCTGAGGAACTCCAGTTTGGGTGCAAGAGCTACAGTAAGACTCTACTTCCATATGTCAGAATTTTTTTTGTTTTAAAAAACACTAATTTGATAGTTCCAACTGTAATAACTTGTCTGTAGAGTCTCTTGTTAGTCAAAAGTTAAACTTTCCTAGGACTTCCCTTCTGAATAACTGAATAACAGATTTATTATTTATCAATTAATTAAACACTAATATCTTTATAATTCAATTTTATCTGTGATATTGTTCAAGTAACTGCTTAATAATCATATATGAATTTGTTGAAGGAGATCTATACTTTGGGTCATGAATGCCTTGAAGTCTTTCACTTGTGAAATGTGAATGTCCTTTATAGCTGTCATTTGAATTGAGGCACATCAAAACTAGAATTCACGAAATCTCTTTGCTGCTTTTGAGATCATGACAGCATAAGATGTTCATCTTGCCTATTTAGTACTTGAGTTTAAAAATAATAATTCTAATAAGAATACTCTTTTAATTTTTAAATTTTAGATTACTTTGGAATTAATGAACTCTTACATTAAGAGCATAATAGACTGAGAAACATAATTATCGAAGTTAGTTACGTTCCTCATTTTCAGCTTTCTTTTCTCTTACTCTTTCTTCTCCCTTTTTTTATTCTTTACCAGGACATGCCCTGGAAGATGCGTCGCTTTGCAAAACTGGATATGTCTGCAAGGTTGGAACTACAGTCTGCGCTTGATGCTGAGATCCGAGCCAAACAGGCTATTCAAGATGAGTTGAATAAAGTCAAAGCTTCCTGTATCTCTACAGAGTGGTAAGACTAAATTGTTCTAATAGAAATTTACTTTGATACCTCCCAGGCAATGTCATCAAACCATAATTTTAACTATCTTGTCTGTCAAAATTCAATAATGAATGATATGCCAGTTTCTTATATGCAAATGTGTAAAAAAAGACCGTATCTCTCTCCATTGTGTGAGCAGCTGAATGCTTACTGAGAAAATTTGAAATCTTGAAGGCTTTCAGAGGGTACACTTTCTCTTTAGTAATACAACATCTTCTAGTTGTGATAAGAAGTTCAAATGCAAACAGAGTTTTGGGTTGTGTCTTAAAACATGCTCTCTTACATTCTATTGATAGCTGCATTGGGTTAGCTGATGAAAATCAATTATTGCATACTGGTTTGTACGGTAATAAGATGTAGTTATGGAAGAGCATGCATTCTCTTATTCATTCCTCAGACCTTTCTCTCTCCCTCCCCCCCCAAACCCCCAAAATAACAACATTTATTCTGAGTTAGGCAAATGCCTGAAGCAGAGATTAGTAGGAAGACATTCTGGTTTTAGGTCTCCAGTTCAATTTAGCTCAGAGCACTGACTTGTTTTGCAGGTTTAGGAAAGCAGTTAGACAAAGCCGAGACTCAAGTATGTTATCCATAAAGTGGGAATAACCTGTCCACCTGACTTGGGTGTTTTTCAGGCCAGGTAGCATGATGATGGACAACACTGTAGATCCTCTAACAGGAAAACCAGTGTTTGCTTTGACAGGGAAGGATGAGAAATGTGGTAGAAATACATAGTGGTGTTACCTATCAGCTGTGAATCGGAAAGCAGTGAAACAACTAACTAAACAAACTGAGAAGAATAGTAGTTCAACGTAATCTATAAGATCCCAGGCACTGTGAATTAACAAATTTTAAAAATCCCGATTTTTAACCGTAGAAATACATGTGGTCATCTTTTCTCATTCACAGGGTACAAGTTCGTACAATTACTCATAAATTAGAAACACAAGCCTATTTAGTGGGTAAACAGGGGCAATTAAGTGCTTGTTCTGTTTGTTTGGTGGTTTTATTTCTTTTTTTTTTTTTTTTAAGATACCATACTAAACAGGTCCCAGTATATTTCTGAATTCATTCTGTTGCTTGATGACATCATGAAGCTTGATGGGCATTAGTTTTTAAATAGCATGCGAAGATGAAGAAAAAAAAAAGGTTATTTGTATCATAGGTTCTGAATATTTACATAGGTTTTTTGTTTGTATTCTTTTGAAGTAAATTGCAAGAATCTGAGAAGAAGAACATGGAACTGCTGACAGATATTGAAAGGCTGAAAAAGGAGACAGAAGAGCTTAGAACAGAAAAGGGTATGGCAACTGATATCCAAGTAACTAACATGTTTCACATTATTGGGTACATCTTATCAATTAAGTGTCACCTTGCAACTAAAATATGATACCAACTGGCTTTGGCATACAAAATGTGAGCACAGCAATTGCATGTTAAGATGTACCCACAGTAGTTGTATTTGCATATCTAATACATACTTGTAATATGCTTCAGTTTTGTTGATATACTTGAAGCAGTAAGGTATTATTTGAGTTGGAACTGCATTATTTTTATTTGGCATGTGCATGGTGATTAACTGCCAGAAAACTGTATAGATATATTTATAATTTTTCTCCCCTTTACGATGGGTGGTGGTATTTAGACTACAGTACTGATCATAGTGTTCTTCATCAATGAATGTTTTGGCGCTGTCTACACAGAGAGTAAACAAGTGCAGAGGCATTCATAATATTCATTTGTTTCTGAGATGACTTTGTTGATTGGCTTTTAACCACGTAGTGAGCAGTGTGGTCATGTTTGCTTTGCTGTGGTATTAACAGTATGTTCTGGGATTTCTAGTGCATCTAACAGTATTTTGCATTGTTGCTGGGAGAAGAGACTTCTTGGTAATTCTGAAATTAAAAAAAATTTCATTGAGAGATGATTAATTCTTTGGCTGATTCTTTGCAGTTCCCATAGTAGCTCTAATGTTTCTATCTTATGAGTCACATGGGAAGAAATGATTTTTCAAACCAAGTGGAATTACCTGATTTTCTGTAGGGAACTCTGAACTCCAGACTTTCAAAGCCCTGGCAACAATTGCTGTGTAGAGATGTCAAATATTGTTCAACCTTTGCAACCTAATGGCATGTCAGTCAATAATGTATTGCAGTTAACATTAATCTGCCATATATAGGCCTCCAAGTGCTGGTTGACTGGTAAAAATAATACAAACCTATGGAGAACATTAAAAAATGACTGGTGATGATTAGCAAATAAGTCTTAGGGAATTTATGCTTGTTCATCTTGATGCTTAGCACTGATACCAGGATTATGCTTCTTCCACCTATTTGGAGCAGAACTCTTGACAGCATCTCCCTGGAGACAATAATGCTTTGTCACATTTAGCTTTCATTTATAGCTTCTTGAACTGTCATAAATATTATGCATGGTTACCTGGCTTCCGAAATCTTCCTTTGCATTAAACAATCTGTAAGAATTTATAAATAATATTTTACCCTGTACTCTTTCCAGTGTTTAAAACCTTAGAGTTTTTGTGAAAATAGAGACAAGCATTTGTTCTTTTTTTTTTAAAAAAAAAAAAAAAAAAAAGGAGAAAATATACTGGTAAAGGAATAGTTAGTTGTTACAGAACTGCATAAATAAGATAGATTTTACTGCAACTTTTCAAATATTTTGATAGAAATACACCTTCATCCAAAATTCTTATTATCTTTGGACTTGGTTTTCTCTTTAAGAAGAAATACACTGATGCTTGAATCATTAATTGTATAGAGGATTCAAATGTAGTCCATGTACAGTGGTGGAGTAACTTCCTGTGTGTGGAAATGATTTCTAGGAAGGGATTACTTAGATTAGTACTTGAATCCTTTGCTCTTTATAAATGTGTTACAGAAACTGAGGAGGGTGAGGAAAAAGATTACTAAAAATGATTCTGTAAAGTAGCAGGTAGTCTGAGAATTGTTTTTTTAGTCTTTCACTAGTGTGTTGGTGTATTTATATTTTTGACGAGGAAAAGGTTCTTTTGAACTTTCTTGTTCACTGTGGGTTATATTTAGAGCAAACAGGATAAAATGGCCAGTTAGAGAAAGACAGTGACATTTTTAAAAAGTAGTAAGTGACCTTTGATAGCATCAGTCATTTGAGATGCACGCCGTCCTGCAGGCTCTGGTCATAATAAGTGTATATATATATATATAATGTATTTATAGTGTTCAGGAAGCTAGAATCTGTACACATGTGATTTATTAAACACCCACAAAGCAACTTGAATTATTCTCCAAAGAAAACAAGAAGAAAAAAAAACAGTTAAAGCAAGTGAAAATAACAGTCAAGGTGTGTCAGCCTCTACAGCTCCAGAGTATGCAGCGTTGATGCTCTGCTTACTGGCTGAAAACCGTGTGAATGGTGTAGCGTGACAGAGACATTTGAAGCTTTACCCCGGATTGTATTACTCCTGCACATTCAAAACTGGGAGGTGACAGGCACAGAGCACGGGTCAGGAAACTCGGCTGATTTGGAAATGCAGTGCGTTCCTCCAGCAGGTGGTTCTGTATGTTTCTGTGGAAAAAAACTAAACAGCCAAAGCTTCCCTGTCACGGTGGCCGTGCAGCCTCGGCGTGTGTGTGCCTCTGGGTCGTGCAGGGCACGTTGCAAACTGGCACAAGCACAGTAGGAACCTGTGCCTCCTGCAGAACAGACGTGCACAATACAGTCGGTTTTCATGTTGAATTCACACCACACACATCCTAGCTTGGAAAAGGTTAATTAAACTTACGCTGCTTGCTTAGTGGGTGTATGTTTGTTAAAAAAAACTATTACTCTGGAACAGACCAAATGTGACAGCTCATTTCAAAAAATGTAGGTGGTTCAGGTGGATACTCAAACCCTGATTCAGCAAGGCAAAGGTCCTCCATGAAAAGGTCATTTTTCTGTAGCTTAAAAACCTGCTGCTGTTTTCTAGGTGTAAAGCACCAAGACTCACAGAATTCTTTCTTGGCATTTTTGAATGCGCCTACCTCTGCTCTGGATCAATTTGAAGTAAGTGTACAGCTATTCTAACTCTCTGTTAGTCAGTGAAACTACTGCTGTTATGTGCAGGTTATGTGCGTATTTGCTGAAAGCTTGCTACTGTATTTTAATCTTATTGTCCCATTTATATTTGCGTATAATAATATTTGAGAATTGTTCATCATTTACAGTGCTGGCTGTCTTCTCTTGAACACTAGTAATCATAGTGAATTCTCTCTCAAACCTTGAAGGCGTGAATTTTCCCAATTTTGTAGTGAATATGAAAAGCGTAGTTGTTCAAATGGCCTTTACTTGTCTTCAGGAAAATGCTAAGTAATGTCATTACTGGTTTGGTAAAAATGAGAGAAAATACGTAAATAATCCTTGAATGTATTTCATGAAGGCGTTGATACTGTACATTTATTAAGTTGTTTCCATCTTCTGTTCATTTTACACAGATGTGTAAAATCTAGATAATTACTATTCATCTCCTCTCTACAGATCTTATATACTTAAAAAATAAATCTATTTAATTCCTTTGTCACTTTCAGACAAAAGACCACTTTAGGTAGAAAACCTAGAAGAAAAAAATTGAAACAATATTATACATTTCATGTCTTCCTTTTTTAAATCAACAGTCAGCAATGCATAATTTTTCTCTTAGAAGAACAGCTGGGGTGAAATATTGGTCAAACTGAATTCAGAGGGGACAAGGCACCACCTTTACAATTATACTTCGGTCTAAAATTTGTCCCTGTTCCTTTTCCCGATGGGTGTACAAGGTCATCACATTTAGCTATGAAAGACCATAATCCCTGATATTATTGAAGTCCCAAAATTTGCTTTCTTTTCATTGTGTATTCATTAATTCATTGTACTTTCTTGAAGTCCTCGCAATTAATATTATTTTTTTAATTTGCTTTTTAATTATTTATAAGTTACTTTCAATATAAAAATCTTGTTGGAGTGTAAGAATATTATTTTATTGAGTGAATGGTGGAAAAACATTGAGTTTTATACAGGTAGTTTATTGATTAATTGTCTATGAAAGGCAATTAATGAAAATTTACTGAGGTAGCTGTTACTGGCACTAGTTATTTACAGTTCGTTATTTTTTCACTTTTATTTATGCTGAACAGTTTTCTTCATCCATCTCTCTCTCTCTCTTTTTTTTTACTGCTGTTTTCATTAAAATAGGATTCCTTTTCCTCCTCTTCATCCTCATTGATTGATTTTATGGATGACGTAAGTCTGACTTTCAAACCAGTAAATCCCTCAATAACAGAGATCATTTGATTGATTTGGAATATTCAAGCTTTAATGCAGCCAACTTAAAAAAAAACTACAAATGTAGTGGAGTGGAGAACAGAATATTTCTATAATAGCATACATACACCTATTTATATAGATAGATGTTCAATTTTAATGTAAATGTTTTTCTTATGTGCAGGTGAAGAATTCTTAACTGGAAATAGTTTTTCTAATGGGGAGAAGCTACTTTTGGGCATTATCTACTGATGCAGCCTGTGGAAAGTGATTCCAAAATCACTGGCACATATATTTTATTTAGTTCTACGGCTTCATTTTATTACATTATCATTAGTTGTTTCCAAAAGTTTTCTGATCACTTCAGTGAAAATATTTTCATTGCATACAGTTAATTTCGGTTTGCTCAAATAAAATACTGTCTCTTTTTTGGCCTATATTGTAAGAAGTAATTTTCATGATGGCTGAAATGAACTCTCTACTATTTATTGCCATTTGAGATGCTAGCTTTCTGTCAGGACAGTGTTTAAATATTTACCCTAGTTAATTGCATAGTAAGGGAATTAAGTTAAAAGCTGAAAATTTACTGCATTATATTTCTTGCAGACTGAAGTAGTAGGTACATAAAAGTGAATAGTAGTAAGCTTTTTAAAATCAAAATATATACTGTGCATCCGTGGTGGAGAACCATCCATTACAGTTCTGTAGGTATATTGTGTGTGTACATCTGTGTGTGTTTGTATATATGTATATACACATACACACATATTTATACATATATATTTAAAATAGTATAATCCTATCGGCATTAAAATGTGATATAATTAATTTTATTCCAGAAATGTCTGCTGTGAAGGGTGTAACAAAGAGGGTATAGTATATGGGCCTGTTCTACTGGTTACATTTCCTCACTTCACAAACTCTGTAAGAATGCTTCTCTTCTAGATGCTTTTTTTATTTTTTGTAAATCAGGTGTATACCTTAGACAAAATGTGAAGGTACATCTGTGGTACCATAGTGGCAGGTATTTGTCTGAATTTTTGTAGAGCATATAGAAAACTTTGTCTTGCTGATATTGTTGGAATTTTCTTACCAAAAAAAAAGAGAGTACAGTTTGCTATGATGTTATATCTACAATAAAAGAGCAATATTTATATCCTTTATCTGGATTAAATAAGTGTTCTCCGTGTTGACTGGGTATTAGCAACACTTAGTTTGTATCAGCAGCTTCTTTCATAGAAAGTTACCTTTAAAAATATCTAATACTCTCTCCTGAAATCTGTTAAAAGATTAACCAAGTACATATGTGGCAAAGTAGCTGATAATGTTCTGTTTTGCAAGGGGAAACTTAGGACAAGAAAGTTCTCCTTGTTGCTATCTAAGTAGTTTTGAAGGACATAAGGACATCAGTATTTTATTCTGCATTTATTATTGTGTTTTGTGGTTTGTTATATCTTTTTTTTTAAAGAAGGCAGTATATTTTTTTCACCAGCATTTTGACAAAAATCACATTTTTTAATCTATGTAATTGAATAATTTTTCACCTGTTGGTGTACATACTTTAAGGCATTCTTCTTGACTGGTCCACCCAGCTCAACTCTTTTCAGATAACCATCTTTTAGTCTTAGGTAAAACTCTAGGTATTAATGTGTATATTGTTGCATGTGGATAAATTACTACATGCAGAATCAAACTTCCCCTGTTACATCTTCAGTCTGAGTCCGACGGGAGTGTTTTTTCCTCAGTTGCATTGGGCAAGAGTACATTACTGGACTGGACTGGCCAGGGGCTAATGTCTCTAACACTGGGCAGAATTCTTTATCATCTGGCAAAACTACAAAAGAGGAGAGTTGACTGTTCAAAGATAGGAGGAGTACCTTGCAGACCAATACAAGACTTGTTGGGCTACCTGTCTTTATTGGAAAGAGAAATAAAACTGATGTCTGTGCTAGTAGGAGAAAGGTGGTATAATTAAGTTGTGCTTAAAGTCAGTTCTGCATCTTTCATTTATCGGACAGTTACTTGATTCATTCATAGAAAGATTCATAATATATAGGCTCAGAATTAGCAAAATGAATGGGGTTTTTTATGTTTTAGCTCATTGAGTTAATTCAATGTCAATATTAGGCGGATGTAAATGAAAATAAGGGTATTGAACACCCCTCCCCACTGGATGTGACCTCCATTCCTTTTCCAGCGTCTCTTTTTGACAGTAGTTACCCTGAAGGGCAGTGTTTCTTGCAGCATCTCAGGAAGAATTAATCTGTGCTCAGTCAAACCTGAAAAGTGTGTGGGTTATTTATATTACGACTAAGGAAGAATTAGAAGTCCTCAGGTCAGACTCATGCAGTGCTGCAATATTGCATGGGTTGCAGGAAAGCCTCTCCTGTAATCAAGAACCCAAAGTAAATGTTACTAATGGCCTGTATTGTTCTTCAGCATCTGTGCTTCATTAAGAAATGACAGAGAGTGTAAAATAATACGCAGTTGCAGTTACATAGCACTCCTTGCAAGATCTCTGAGGTCTCCTTAACATACAGATATGTGAGCAGCACTGAGTTTGGCTCACTGACTACATCTGGAGTTTACCGGGGTGGGTGTGTCTTGTGCGTCTGCTGTCCAAGTAACGTAATTGTTTATAGGACTCTATGAATGACTGGAGTTAATTCTAATTTTTTCAATGAGGAAAACAGTGGTTTTGCAATTTCTACTGGAGAGAAGTAAAAATAGATGTCCCTCTGCCTTTGTAGCCTTCAGACCCTGAGCTAGAAAAGTGGTAGCTCAGTATTCAGATGAGTGTCAGTCACTGTTGGTTCCAGCTGTCTCTCCTTGAAAAGATGCTTGGTCAGGTTGGCAGAACTGGTGCCTAAATCCTCATAGCTGTGAAAGCCCATTTGTTCAGAAACGATCCTTATATCTCCTGTGCTCACAGGAGGGTGCAAAGGGGAGTAGGAATGGGTTTTGCTGTCCCTGATTTCTGATGTCGGTGGGGAGGGAAGTCACCCCCAGTGACTCTACTACACTAATTTCTGTATCTTTGCCGCTGTTTCTCCTGTGTGTTGCAGGCTGTCTCTCAGTAACGTCATCTAGGTGTTAAGTCTTCTGCATTCACTAGAAGTGTTTGATAATGGAAGTGGTGTTGGGTTTTGTTTTTTTTTGCCAGGTGGAACTTTGTGGATCTCACTAGCTACTAGAAGCAACCAACTTGTTTGATTTTGTGATTATTTAATAACAATAAAATGGAATCACATTTTCCCTTTACAAAATTGTTGTCCTCACTTGATAGAAAATGTTATTTTTCCCATTACCAATACATTATGAATTAAAAATAGATTTCTTAAATTCACCTGCAGTCTGTCCTCACATGCAGTCCCCATGGGCTTTGGTTAGACTAAATGAACGTGAAATACGTAAATAACCACAGAATAAATCATGTTCTGAATTCTCATTATTAAACAGAATTAGCCATAGAAGTGTGTGTGGTGAGAGCCCTGACTCTACCTGCACATTCGTAGTCAAGTTTAGAATAATTTTGGTTCTTAATGATGCTTTAAATTGGACATATTGCACCTCCAGGAGGTTGCTTTATCCATCTTATTCAAAGTACAGAGATGCTAACTGCAAATTATTAGTGTAATGTAGTCTGCAGTTTCACTGCTATTGTCCAGACTTTAAAATAACTGTTCCCTTTTCTGGATGTTTCTTCCCTCCTGTTGCCTGAGAATATCTTGTTTGCAAAATACTTGTAAAAACGAACATGTTTTTGTGTCTCTAAACACTACCTCTGGAGATGTAGAGCGACAAATTCTGAGCTGATGTATGTGTCACTGTTTGGTTTTGTAACATATTCTCCTTTCTTTGTTAAAGCGCTCTCCTTCCTGTATTCCAGCTAACAAAGGCAGACGTGTAAGAGGCTGTCTTACTCTATGTGGCCCTTTATTTTTTGCCTGTTTTGTACATGCCTTTGTCTAATGTATGGACTGTGTATTTACCTCACTGCATGTCTTGTGCTGCTGCTACCGTTCGCTGCTGCTGCTGTGCTTTTTGTTGTTTTACAGCTGTGGGCTAAAGCTGTTGGAGTGTTTTCATTTGGTAATCCTATGAGCAGAATAGCACAGTAACTGGAGAAGATGTTTTGGGTACCTTCTCGTTTCAATATGGAAGTTCTTCGCAAAAGCTGATGAGGTAGATGCAGGTTGGGAAGATGAGGAAGTGTCAAATGAGGGCCTGTTTGCTTCCTTGCCCTTAGCAGAGGGCACGTGTTGAGTTACAGGAGCTGCCTATAGAAGGTAGAAGTTTGTCATTTGGTAGGCATATCATAGCAAATGATAGAAAATATCACAGTGCAGAGATAAGTAAATGGGAAGTGGGGAATTGAGTAAATCGGAGCATCAAGGAGAGCGGGAAGAATTCACACGAGGAAAACAGGGTTGGATGTGTTGTCGGCTGTTAAGCTGGAAAGCTCTATGGTGTTTCAGAAATCAAGGCAGATTTTTAAGCATGGTATTATCAAAGCTTTGTCAGACTGAATTCATACCAGGTATGCTATGTCAGTGTTAAACTCGTGCTGCCACTTTTGTTGCTTTTATACACATATGGTGATAGGAGTAGGAAATCATACAAATATTGAATATTCAGTAAATAAGCAATAATGCCCAGCAGCTCTAATAATGACCTATTATGACTATGCAGTACAAAGCACACCACTCAGTGTCTTAGGCAAGCTTACAGTAACTGCTTCTTTCTGCCAGCTGTGGCTCCAGTCCAAAGTTCATTTCTCCTCCAGATGTGCTTATCCACTGGCCAGCTGTGGCTCAGGCCTGCACAGGTGACACTGTGTAGGCAACTAAGCACAGGACTGTGGAAGATGACAAGGCTATTAAAATTTGGTAGGAAATATTGAAATTATGCTTTTGGTAACCCAGTGGATTAGTTTAAAACTAATTTCAGTGGTGTTAGTATGGTCCACGTAAGCTTTTGGCCATAGTTGAGTCAGGTTGCTTTTGTACTTTGTGCTTCTCACAAAAGCAAGGAACCTGAAGTTTACTGCAGCAATACAGCTTAAGGCCCTGTTTCTGCAGTAAACGTGGTGGTTAAATTCCCTTCAAATTCTGTAATGGTAAACCAGGTTCTGTTTGTTTTGTGGGGTTTTTATGGTCATAAGTAAAGTAAAAATACATTTGTTACTGGTTCAGCAGTTGTCTTCAACCACAAAGGCTTTGCAGCACATTCCAGAAAAGTTCCATCATTCATATCATGCTTGTACTAAATTTTTTAAGAGACACCATGGAAATTGTTTGGTATGCAGATGCTACTTTGAAAGGGAAAGCCTTTGGAGTATCTGGAAACATCTATGAAATGATAGATTAGATCTCTGAGTTTAACTTGCAGAAGAAAAGGCATGTCTGTTTCTTGCTATGAAAAATTCCCCTGTAGTCATTCATTAGGCATATTTTTTAATAACACTTTTAAGAAGGAAGAATTGTTCAAGGTTAAACAGTCTGAGTGGACTACAAATTATGCGTGTTCAGACTTGATAAAAAGTTTAAAATAATTGTAACAGTGTTACATGTCTGGGGATTTGCTACTAAAAGGCATCAATGTTTCTAATAGTGGGTAAAGCTTCCAATTATTATTTGCTTCTGATAAATCTCAGCACAAAATCTTTGCTTTACTGCTAATTTTTGCCTCAATGCTTGAAACACATGATCTATGTGTAGAAAACAGGTGTATCCCAGTGTGACAATTTCCCGTTTTCATTACAGTAATACTTGCAGGCATCTTAATATGCCTAAGTTGATTAAGCTGATAAGCATTCTCCACCAGATCTTTTTTTTTTTTGGAGGCTAAGATGAAACTAGAAGCCATAAAAATTAATCACTCTATTTAAATTAAAAAAAAAAAAAAAAAAAAAAAAAAAAGAGAGAGAAAAAGAAAAAACAGCAACTGCACCTGTTCGCTACCATGACTGAGTTTCTGGAGAACAGGACTGTATCTGCATGTGTAAGATTGGCTTGGCAATATGTTTTATTCCCAAGGAGCAGTAAAGTTTGTGGAATTCATAGCATTATGTCAATGGCAAATGAGATAAAAAACACTGGAATGTTCAAATGCTTTCTGTGAACATTGCTGCATATTTTAGTTTGTGTGCTAGCTAGCCAAATCCTTAGCAATGGGGAACTGATGACAGCATTGTTCCAGAAGAGCTAGGCATGCAGTGGAGCCTTCTGTAGGCCTCCAACTTCTATTTTTATTATTAGTGGAGAAGAGCATCCTTACCTCGCTATAGTTTTCTTAAAAATTTACAAATTTACATAGGAAACTTTGATGTGGCGATGTCTTGTTTTCAAGGAAGAATCCTGCATTCTTTGATTTTTTCAGTTGTGCTGACAAAAGATGACTTGTTATCCAGGATACTTGGTTGTACCTATATGCTTTGTTTTCAGTGTAGTTCTATGTTGGGCTTAGTTTCATTGTATATCATAGACTAGGAAAATATTCACCTGAAGAAACTGTATTCCTAGTAAGGATGTTTTTGTAGTTCAAATGGTGTACAAAAAAAACCCTCAATTTTCTGTGAATATAATTAACGCTAACCTCAGGAAACACATTGTTTGCTCTGCCTTTTCTCCATGTTTTCTCCTAAATATGTTTGCAGTGATTTACGTAGGCTATTTGGGAATTCACTTCTAACAGATCTCTACTACCAGTGGACAAAACCCAGTAGTGTTTAGAAAATACTCACGCTTTTATAATGCTGAATTGCAAGTCTCTTCAAGTGTTTATCAGGCCCCTGAACTAGCAACTTTTATGCATGTGCACACCCCTCAGCAGAAGCCTTGGTGTGTTCATACTCAATAATTTTCATTGCATTTTTGTACTTAAATTAGGAAGTTGCTTAAAACTGAATTTTTATCCTCTCAGTTCTCTCTTAGGAATTCTACTGCTCCCATATCTTATTTTGGTAAGACTTGAGAATTCTTTTTTAATGATGTCTTTGATTTTTTTTTTTTTTGGTTGTTTTTTCTTCTCTTGAATTGTTCTCCTAGATTGATTCAGTTGAGAATTTTACATTGTCTAATACTCCATCACGGGATGAAGATAGCAAGTCTCACCTCCATTCAAGATCAAGGTCTCCTTCTACAGCTAGTGAGATTGAACCAATTGAGGTATTTCAATGCTGACAAATTTTTGCCTTCTTTTTAGGAGTAACAGTTTCACTCATATAAAAATATGTGTTGCAAATCCTTTTGTTTAGAATGAAGCTCACTCGTCTTCAGCGAGACTATTTAGGACCTTGTAATAGCCTTCTACACTAATAATGAATGGTATTTTGGGGAATGTTGCATTTCCTTTCACATACCGTTAATTGATTAGGGAGAGGAACTATGTTGAATCAATTATTAGATACAGTCTCTCTTCATAACATATCCTCAGTCGGTAATATTTAAGAACTGTTGGCACAAAGTTAATGTTATACCATAGTTTGCAAGAGCACACTTTGGAGTCCTGCTGAAAGTATTGTCAATACAAAATATTAGCCAGGTTCTGAAACTGAAATAATATGTCCTCTTTCCCTGTTAAAAAAATTAACTCTCTGATTATTTTACATTAGAAAAGATCCAGCCAAATGTTTAAGATAATACAAAGTTATTTGACATTTAGGAGATGAATGTTGTACATCATTTTGCTGAGAAATGAGACTAGCTTTACTTACTCTTTTCCTGTGTTAATCAGCTTAGTTTCACTGCTTGTATGTTTGGGGATGGGGTGGGTGAGATGTTGTAGTCCTTTTTTACTTTATTCAAGCTATCTTTAATAGTGTGTGTTTGATGTCTTATTGATCCTTTGGGGACTATGTTCAGGTTACCGATCATCCTCCCCGTTCAATTCACACACCAACCATGAGGACAACATATATTGGATCGGGACTCTCTGCACCAAAGGTATTCAGTCAAGCATTCACACTTTTTATATAGTAAAGGAGAAAATAACAGTCGTGGGCAACAGCTTCAGGAGAACTATTTATCACAGTAATCTTACTGGAACTGCCTAGAAGGGTTGCTCATATGCAAGCTGGTTGCTTTCTAAAATTTAAAACCATTCATTCTTACATTATGTGGTGTGACAAGTTGTATTAAGCATTCCACTGTAGCAGCACACAGGCATTTGATTACAGGAAAAACAGTAGTTTTATAAATGAACCTGAACATGAAAAAAGGAAAAGAGACTTCCTAGAAAGAGTGTTTTCCGGCACGTGTATGGCCAACCTGCCTCTGTCCTCTGCATACAGTAAAACTGATGTAACTGCGGGTCTGTCTCAGGTTAGCACATCTGTGTGCTAGTTAGATGCTTAATTTTGAGAAAAGGCGAAGAGTGAGCCTGAAATGAAACCGTAGATTTGCATTTTTTGTAAGCAATGTAGAGTGAGCACTACAGCCAGTACTGCAGCATTGGGCTGAGAGACAAATTCCAGTTTTTCTGTCTTTTGACTTTTTACTTGAATAAATACTGATTTTACATCAGTTGTTGAAATTATTTCGCTGTAAAGGAAAAATCTTCTCATAAAAGTTCCATAAGTGCCTTGATGGCTTGGGAATCTTCTGTGTATTTAGAAAAAATGACAGTTTTCTGCAACTAAGCAATGTAGTCAGTAAGTCTTTCTAACAGATCTGTTTCTTTGCTTTGATAAATTGCAAAATAGCAGTTTGTGTAAAGGAAAGCTAAAAAGTTTGAGCAGACTATGTTCTGTTGGCAACATCTTAGTAGATCAATTAAAAAATTACTGTAAGTGCACTTGTAATCTTGTGAAACATTTTACTGTGCATATCATTTCGTTTTTGCAGATATTTTGCTCAGTAAGTAATGATCAGCTTTGTAATTTATTATGTTCCCTAAAGAACCTTCTTACTTCGATTGCATCGGTTTTTCAAGCTAAGTATTGTTTCCCTGCAAGTTTCATAACAGGCCATTCATCTGTAGACAGAAAGCTTCCACTGTAACAGTAAAACTAACAAGAAGAGCTCTTTCGAAATCAACTTCATCTATACTCTTGCTTTTAAACTGGGTGTTCTGAAATTGCCTGCCCCTGGCACCATAAAACTGAACTGTGTCATGCTTTCTGGTCTAAAAACTAGAATTTTGGAAAAGTCTGATATTTTTCTTTGAACTAAGACAACACGCCTTACAGAGGAGCACTGAATTTGCAGCTTAGAACATACGGTGGTGGGTTGACCTTGGCTGGCCACCAGGTGCCCACCAAGCACATACATACACATGTTCAACTTGTAGAGTGTAATGGAATAATTTTGGCAACTTTTCTATCTGCAGTGGAAGCAAACTCATGTTCTGAGACAAGGTCTGGTTTCCATGGTCTCGTTTACAGAGGATGGTGTAAATTGTCAATAATGAGCACTGAGAAGGAATTTTTTTCAGCCTGTGTGATAGGAGCTCAGATCTCCTTTCAGCAAACACAATTAATCTACCTTTTTAATTGCACCTCTGCACTCATGTCTGTGGAAAAAAAAAAAAAAAAAAAAACAAAAACAAAAACACCTGTTCTTCAGAAGTGTTGCAGGTATTAACATCTTTGTCTGCTTGTTTCACAGCCTAAAGCCCACCAGTTTGTAGTGAAATCATTTAATACACCAACAAAATGCAACCAATGCACATCTCTGATGGTTGGTTTAATACGACAGGGCTGTACTTGTGAAGGTAAGCATATGTGAAGGCAGGAAGGGTAAACTGAAGTTCTTACAGATGCAAATTGCACAGTAAATGTAGCATAATAATGCATGAGTCTTCTGATTGTGTTTTGAATAACAGAATATATTCTCATGCTTCAGTCTTTTAACAGTAGAAGCCGAACACTTTGAACATTGTACGTAACAATGTACCTAGTTATCTGGGGACATACCTACTCCAGTTGGTGGTACAAGAGATGAGTTCACTTTACTTTAAATAGCAATAAGGGGTCACAGTCTGTGGTCAAGTATGCTGACAGCAGCTTTGCTTTCTGACTCGGGGCAAAATGTAAGACAGCTTTGCCATTCAGTACCAATTTTGCTTCTTTCCAGGACTAGTTTATTGCAGGTTTGTATGTACACAGAAAGACAATCATCATTTAGAGGAGCTTCCAGCTTTTCGTTTACTAGTAGAGTTGGACCTAGAGGAAATCATACAGATTATCTTAGTATGAGCTTCTGATTAGGTTCTTTCTTACCTGGATGAAACCAGACTGTGTATCCACACACCTGTAACAATGAGAAAAACAGAATTTAGAGCAGATAAAATCATGAACTGCTACTATGTGCAGACTTATGTTTCTGTCTCAGTGTAGCAAAGTTCAGTGAAACTATTCAGTTATTGGTCAAAAAAAGAGAGGATTCTTTTATAAATGTCATCATCATTACCATAGCTTTTACATTGCACAGGAAATAACCATCAAATCTCTTTGTTTCTTCTCCTCCTCACCAGTATGTGGATTCTCTTGCCATGTGACCTGTGCAGACAAGGCTCCTGCTGTATGTCCAATCCCTCCTGAACAGACTAAGGGACCTTTGGGAATAGATCCACAGAAGGGCATAGGAACAGCTTATGAAGGACATGTCCGAGTAGGTATCAGGTAGCTGCATTTGGGGCACTTATATTAAATTTGTGGTTTTCTAGAGCTGGAATTAAATTCTATTTGGGGCATCACAGGGGATGGGTTCAATTATACCTTAAAGTAACAGTTTGGAAACTAAGACCTACATTTTCACAAAGAAACTCAGCAGTTTCAACAGTAATTCTCTCTCCATCTTTGTTGGCCATTGGGCTTTGGGTTGGTCTTGAATAGTCCATCTCTAGAGATCAGGTCATCTTCCAGGGCCTGGGAGTGTCTGAGTCTTTCTGATAATGCTAGTACTGTCTAGGGTCATTGGTGCGGGTACTTGTACATAAATACTAAAGAAATTACTCCTCACAGTTTTGGCCAGCTAGAGATGGGCTTATTTCTCTATATTTGCTAATACAGCTTTGAATGGGTTTGTGAAATAAGAAGAAAGAATCTATGGTGCTGTGACTTGTTTAAATAATATACTGTGGTGTCTGTGTGGCTGTGTTCGATGGTCTTGCTGCACCTGTGCTATTGCTTATATTTCTTTACATTATCACTGAATAAAAGCTTGTCAGCCTAGATGAGAGGATTGATTTTTGTACTGTCTGTTTGATTTTTGATTGCATTCAAACTTACAGAGGGTTGATAAGAATTTATTTCGCTAAAGGTACCAAAACCAGCTGGAGTAAAGAAAGGCTGGCAGAGAGCACTGGCAGTGATCTGTGATTTTAAACTCTTCCTATATGATGTAGCAGAAGGAAAAGCATCCCAGCCCAGCGTGGTAGTGAGTCAGGTCATAGATATGAGGTAAGCTGTTTGGTGCTGAGTGGGAGCTTTTCAGAGGCACTGGGAGGTATTTTTCTGCTTTTCTTTTTTGTGTAATCAGTAAGCAATCTCCAGAGCTTTTATGAAACACTGTAATCCATGTTGAGAGCCTCTAATTTTCCGGGATAAAGCAGTGTTTGCAGTTGGCCTGAACTACACTTGTGTGCTCATATGTGGCAATTTAAACTTCCATCACTACACTGTGTGACAAAATGCATGTCTTCGGCTGTGTAGAAGATCTGGAATGAATAAAGAAGGAAAATAATGTTCTTTTGGGGTTGAATAGGGTTTTTAAAGACAGATAAAACTTTGTTATAGGATAAAATTAATACAGTTTTTTATTCATTAGAGCTAGTTTGTTCCCACTGTCTTCAGTATTACTAATATCAGCTTCACTGAAGGCTGAGAACATTTAACATACTGAGTAAAGTTCATCTCTGAACTAGATTAATTTATCCAAGAAGTCTCAAACAGCTGTAGCTTATAGCTTCTAGTGAGTTTGGATTTTTATGAAAGAATTGGAGAGGTGTTCTTGGTCCAGGCTTACTTTTTAAATTTGATTATTTTTATTTTGTTTTAAAAAGGTTTTAATTTAAACAGATGAAAACCAGATACTCTGCATAGATTATCTCCATCAACATTTACTGGAAATTAATTATGCAACATTGCATTTGTGAATTTCATCTGCGGATAAAGAGGAAAGAATAATTTTAAAAATTAGATCTGAGCACTGTCTTGTTGTGTCCTTCACAAAACAAGGCTATTGGTACTATGGAAATATAAGTAAAAAACAAACACACAGATTTTACTCTTTAACTCTTTTCCAATTATGTTTGTGGTCTCCATAAGGGATGAAGAATTCTCAGTGAGTTCTGTCTTGGCCTCAGATGTCATCCATGCAAATCGAAAAGATATCCCCTGTATCTTCAGGGTAAGTGTTATGTCTTGAACCTAGTAACCCAGAAGTACAGGGTTTCACAGTGTGATCTACAGTGTACATTCACTGGCAGCTTGCTAGTATGTTATTTCCTTTGCAAGTTCTGGCCATGTGGTATCCATGGCAGCAGCAGCAATGCATAAGGATCTACACATACATCATTTTCATTGTAAAAATAGCACTGGTACATTTAGACAAGCTCTCATCTCCCCTCTTTACGTGCGTTTTATTTTTTAACTTTCACAATAAGACATACTTTTCTCAACCTCCTCTTAGTCATCTGTAATTTCTCTGTTCTTCATGACCTTCTACATTTTCATTTCCTAAAGTTGCCTTCTGCTTCTCAATTTAATTTGTTGTGTTATTTCTGAAGCCTTGATTTTATGTATTTTCTCTATATATATGCATTGGCTTTCTGAAAACTCCCATTCATCATGTAAGTCAGTATAGAAATCTAGTGTAAAATACTCATCAAAATTTATGTCTGGTATCAGGATTTTGCAGTCATTGGCTTTTTCTAATATTATTCTTATTTTTACTAGATACTCTATTGAAGCTTTGACCTCAATGAAATATATTTGGTGTCATATTAATTCCCCTATCATTTCTTTACTGTACTGTTGTATTTCACTCCTTGCTTTTCGGTCTTTCAGATTGTTCATCACTCTGCATGTTGAGAGGAGATAAACCTACAAAAGGGGCTTTCATTTTTATCTACAGTAGCTGTACCAAATACATGAAAAGGATCATAGGTCATTCTTCATAAAGACCATTCCTATTGCATTAAAATATTAACAAAAACTATTGTTCTTAAAAAAAAAAAAAAAAAAACAACAAAAAAAAAAAAAAAAAAAACAGCAACAACAAAAACCCCACCAGAATATTTTGGAAGAAGTGCTTTTCATTATAAAATTGCCGTGAGAAACAATTCACTACCTTATTTAGGGCAGACATTTCCCAATTATAGAATTAAATACAAATGCATCTAATAAAGCCAAAGTTTTCTCTGTTCTTTGAGTTAACATCTGCAGGTTTTTCTGCTGTGGGTTCTTGATTGAGATAGTGTTTTCTGTTAACTAAGGCTAAATTTTTGCAGTCTTAGTTCAGACAGGTAATTAAAAGGGCACTTATAGGCACCAGATATCCTTGTAAAAATGATCATGATTAGATTTTTTTGTCACTTATGACTTAAAATATATATTTTAAAATTTTCCAGGTTACAGCTTCCCAGCTCTCTGCATCCAGTAATAAGTGTTCAATCCTGATTCTAGCAGACGGTGAGAATGAAAAAAGCAAGTGGGTAGGAGTGCTGAATGAATTGCATAGGATCTTGAAGAAGAACAAACTCAAAGACCGCTCAGTCTATGTTCCCAAAGAAGCTTACGACAGCACCTTACCCCTCATCAAAACAACACAGTCAGCAGCAATCATAGGTATGAAATGAGTAAGAATAAAGCTCTAAGAAGAATGGGTGTGCTAAAAGTTTGCTTTTTTTGCAAAAAAAGTGTTAAATGGCCTTATATACTGAATAGAGTAATATGTAGTGGTTTTATCCCATATGGAAATGTGTATGTTTGAGAGAATTGCAGTTCACTACCCAGTATTTTGTCAGATCTTTGAGAACAGTCCCACTATTCACACATATTCATAATTATGAATAATTTTGACTGAGAATTGGACATTACTCTTTTGTTACTCTGTAAGCGTAATGGCCTTAACTGGCCAAAATCAGCACTATAGAATAGACATAAATCACTGACTTAACATAATCTGCTTGTGGGACCAGAGAGAAAATGTAAAAGCAGAGAATGAATTTAGTCATTTTCAATGCTACTGCATGAAATATGTTAAGCTCTGATTATTTAAATACGATATTACAATTATTTCAAAGTTGGTAGTACACTTAAGTGCTCTGAATACTTTGTTAAAAATTACATTTCTTGATAATACTTCTACAAACAGGAGAAATGGGAAAAGACATTTTTTCAGAAATTTTAAAGTCTTGGAGGTTACCAATTTTTTTTGTTACGTGAACATGTTGGGTTTAGCTTTGTATTTGTTTATTTCAAGATATTAAAAAACTGTCTCTGTTAATCAGAATTATCACTGTTGTTGACAAAGTATTTCCAAAGAAAAATAACCTTTTTTTTTTTTTTTTTATATTTTAGATCATGAAAGAATAGCTCTGGGGAATGAAGAAGGGTTGTTTGTTGTGCACGTCACCAAAGATGGTAAGAGATTAGGAACTGGTAATAATTTCCCTAACATTAAATAATCAGAAGGTGACTTTGTAACCTTTTGTCTCTCTCAATATCCTCGGGTTTAATGTTTCTCGATTTACTACATTATCAGCTGGACAACCCCATGTGAGAGCTGATAATCAAGGTGTTCTGTGTGCTTTCTGTTTTGGGTGTCCTTTCCAGTAACAAAGATCCAGCACCTGGAATGCAGTTGAAGGTTTTCTTCCCTTGTTTGAAGCAGTCTCAATACTGAATTCAGACCAGGTTGCTCAGGACTTCGTCCAGTTGGATCTTGAAAATCCCCAAGTACGGAGGTTCCACAATCTCTCTGGGCTGCCTATTGCAAATGACTCTCACAATGAAACATTTCCTTTGTATATCCAGTGGGAACCTCCCTCGTTTCAATTTGTGACTATTGTCTCCTCTTCTCCTGCTGTGCACTGCAGCGAGGAGCCTGGCTTGATCCTTTCTGTAGCCTCCTCCTTGGTATTGGAAATGAAAACTTATGTTCAGTATTGTAAAGAGATGGAGTGAGAAATGCCCAAGCAAGCAACATGTTTAATTGTATGTTTCAGTTCTTTGAGGGTTTTCCTTTATTCAGTAGTTTTGTGGCTATAAACTGGTTTTGAAATAAATACTGAAATAATACAGCAGTTGTTATTGCATCCGATCTGCTCTTCCCTTTTTATGATGAGGAAAAGCCAAAGGTCTATCCAGTACTGCCACATCTCTTATTCTTAAAATACAGGTTTCGATTCTGTACTTTTTAATATTGCAGGGAAGCAATAAGGGGGATTTCTTGGGTTTCCTTCGTAGTTTATCTTCAGGAAATACATATAATCAGTTCACACTTCAGCATTATTTACTTGGATTTTGAGGGGTTTTGCTTTGTTCTTTTTTAGAGATTATCCGTGTTGGTGACAATAAGAAGGTTCATCAGATTGAGCTTATCCCAAATGAACAGCTCATTGCCGTAATCTCAGGACGAAACCGTCACGTGCGGCTTTTCCCTATGGCTGCCCTGGATGGAAGGGAGACTGAGTTTTACAAGCTGGCAGAGACAAAAGGCTGTCAGTCGATAGTTTCTGGACATGTGCGCCACGGAGCTCTTACCTGCCTGTGTGTAGCTATGAAAAGGCAGGTCCTCTGTTATGAACTAAATCAGAGTAAGACACGTCACAAAAAGATCAAGGAGATCCAGGTCCAGGGGAATGTCCAGTGGATGTCAATCTTCAGTGACCGTCTTTGTGTGGGCTACCCGTCAGGTTTCTTAAAATATCCCCTTCACGGAGAAGGCAGCCCATACAGTCTGCTCCACCCAGATGACCACACACTATCGTTTATCTCACAGCAGCCAACTGATGCCATCTGTGCAGTCGAAATCTCAAATAAAGAATACCTGCTGTGTTTTAGCAGCGTAGGGGTTTACGTTGACTGCCAGGGCCGAAGATCTCGACAACAAGAATTGATGTGGCCCGCAACTCCATCTTCTTGCTGTAAGTTGTCGTGTGTGTCAGTGTACTTGCTGTTATACATTGAAGTGATCACTGCTTGTATTAATGTCCATAGAAAGTGAAGTTCAGGGATAACTACCTGGCAGTTAAATGAAAGCTGTCGTCTTCTGTCAGCATTTTTGATCTAGTCAGAGGGTTTCATCTTGATCTCATTTATGCTGGTTTTGACAACTCCGTCACTGACCTATACTGCTGTAGCTCAAAGAGGAATCAAGGGTCAGGATTTCTAACTCTGATGTCCGATTTCTAAACACGCGGCCTGATCTCTAAAACAGCCAAAAGCCTCAGGTCCTGCAGAGGCTAATGGGATCTTTATGCATTCGCTACCACGGATACCGGACTGTTGTTATTTAAAGTCTAAAAATTTGACTGTACTTCGTCTCAGCATTGTGATTCAGGCTTTCTTGATGTTCAGAGTCATCAGTATCAGGTAGTTTGAATTGCTTTCCTCTAATGGTGTTTATTCCTACTTACTGGAGTTTTTTCTTTCCTTACTCCCTCATTCTCTTTTCCTCAGCAGTTTTTGTTGACACTCTTCTTGTTCATCTCCTCTCTTTGCTTTTTTTAAAAATCAGTTTTTAAGTTCTTCCCCGCCATCCACCTCTTCCCTTCCAAAATACAATGTATGACAGGCAGTGAAGGAAACATATTTCATAACCTTAAGGGAAAAATACTGTAATTTTTCAAGATTTCTGTTTCCAGCAAGAACTGATATACATTTATTGCATGCTTTTTCAAAGCTGGGGCTTTATCTTTGTGACAGTTGGAGGGGAAAAAAAGCCTGCAATGCCTATCTTCTTTTTAATGTCTTTCTGAATGCAGATAAATATTAGCCAAATTTGTCCTCAGAGTATCTGTGAATGAGCCCAGTCTTGTGATGATTTTTAAAATAGTGTGCCTTCTTACCTCACTGTGACAGCAATACAGTCACGGGGCAGAGGAGAGGAATGTTTCACCTTGTTTGAGTGAAGCCCCTTCTGAATGTGGACGGAGCAATTTTTACAGGCTGTATGTCACTTCTGGTTTTCAAGCAAGAGTGTGATTTTTACAATATACTCAGAGAATGAATGAATCAAAATAAAAGATTTTGTTACAGACTGAAAAACATGTAGTTCATCTATACTGGCAACTGATATTTGGGAAAGTTTTCTGATTGCCTTAAATGAAGTGACTTGATGTTATTCCAGTTCAGAATGGAGATATATTTTATAGCAAAAACTGTTACATTTAAACACAAATTGGATGCTCTTGTTAGTCTTGGCAGACCATGGCAGTCTTGTTGCCAACATGGAAATACTGAATTCTCCTTTAGAAGTGGTCCCAGTGGAACAAATTTCATCCTGGGGAAATGTGCCAGATAAGTAGCGCAAGAATTCTCTTTACAGTCCAGAAAATAAGAAAAGAGAATTAAAGCTAGAAGGAAACATGAAGATTTTTATGACTCTGTCATGGTGCTTAGTTCCAACTGATATTCATTTAGAACAAATACTAAGAGCTCAGTTCATTCCAATGACAGTTATTAAATAACAACAATATATTTTCCTACCACATCATTTATATAATACGAGCTCTTAAAAATAGGGCTTTTAGAAGGAAAAAAGCTTTGAACCCACATCAGTGTTTGGCAGAGTAAACTGTAATGGCCAGTAATTCAAAAAGTAGTTTGGTTCTGCAAAGTTAAAAGAAAGTCGTGGAGGTTTTAAGTTTTTTGGTGGTGCTGGTTTGCCTTCAGAATAAATTTCTTTGTAATTGTTGAGTTAAAACACATTTTGCAAAGATTGTTGTTGGACTGTGGGAGTGGGTTTTTTTTTTTAATAAATATGGTTAAATAATATGTGTATTTTAAGCACTGTCTAAAAGCACATGACACTATACCTAATCATTCCCTCTCAGGTTACAATGCACCATACCTCTCTGTGTACAGTGAAAATGCAATCGATGTCTTTGATGTGAACTCCATGGAGTGGATTCAGACTATTCCTCTCAAAAAGGTAACTTCTTGTTTCAATATCGGTTAAAGAATATGTCTAGTTTCAGTATTGCTTGGCTACAGTCAAAATGGCTTTTTTAAGCACATCAGAAGCCATCATTAACACTGCTTATATAAACATAATTGAACTAAAAGGAGATCTACTGCAAAGAAACCAGTGCTTTTTGTTCAAAATATAAGATAGGAAATATGTTTTGCATGCAGTTTCACTGTTTTAGATGAATGGTCAGTCTGGAGCATTTATGAGCGGGTTAGACTTACTGATATTGTAGAGAACAGTTTCTTGGTATTAATTGCATATGGCTTCACTGGGTCTGATTGCATCTATGTTATTGACAGAAGATGGTGAATGTTAAGATAATTAAACAGGTGTTCAAAAATCTATCTTCTGCTGTTTGATCACTCTGTAGACAGATAGTGTTAGAACATTTTGGTTCAACCAGTACAAATATTAAAACCAGGATGATGTCAGGTTTGGATCCCTTATCACAAGGAAGAAGTTTTTGAAAACTGACACTTCCTTTGTATTTATGAGGTGTTTGCTCAGCTGTATTTGGAAAGAAAAAAGAAAAGTGGGGTTGTTTTTTCCCAGAGTTTAGACTAACTTCAACTTTGTATCCATATCAACATGCTCCCTTTACGGACATTCCAACGACATAGAACTACAACAAATTGCCCTTGTGGTCTTGTGTTAGTCATTCAATCTCTGTGTATCAATCTCGCACATGTCAGATGCAGATCAGGATATTACAGCAATGCTGTAAGGAAAATAATGCAAAAATCAAGGTGCTCAGCTATTAACCACTCTAAGGAGAGAAGAAGAATCTGGCCTTTTAGAGGAAATTTCCTCTACTCTTGCTGATGTTCAAACTTTGAGTTATTAAGCAGTTGGAGCGTTTTTTGCCTACACAGCAGAATATGATTTAGTACTTTGATTAATATTTGGATCAAAACTGCCCATTTAATGAATGAAGCTACTTTCAACAAAGAAGAATTGCTACATCTAGGAGACTCAAAAATGGCAGATTATTTATTATGAAGAGTTTGTTTCTAACACAATTTGCAGACTTTGAGAGTGGAATGCTTCTTTCATTTTGAAGTTGGAAATCACAAATACCAGTAGGTTTTAGTAATATGGATATACTCTTATCAAGTTGCAAAGCATAATTGTGACATGATACTAACACAAAACAAAAGCGTAGCTTATTGCTTTGTGCATCTAATGAACAAAATTGAATTGTTAAATGAAGTAGACTTCTAACAGAGCTATTTTTTTTAAAGCTGGGAGGAATGGTGTTAAGCCTGTCTTTAAGTGGAATTTTAGGCAACTCCCTCTGTACTGTTCTCCAAACAGAAGTTTAAAATTGTTTTTAACTCTGCTTTGTGGCTTTAATGACTCACAATTGTTATTCTTGAGAGCAGGCATGTGTCACTGAAGATAGGAGACACTGCTCCCTCCAGCCTGCAGTTCTTCTGTGGAGCAGGCTTTGCTGTGGCCAATTACGCTCTTCTGCTCCCTGATTGCCTTTATAACAGGGCTGCTTTTATAGAGTTTATAATGCACCTTGGAGCTTTCAGAATAAGATGCCGTATATAAATGTGAGTTATTACTATTACAGGAACTGATTTTCCTTGTTTCAGGTACGACCCTTGAATACAGAAGGATCATTAAACCTTTTAGGCCTGGAGACAGTTAGATTAATATATTTCAAAAACAAAATGGCAGGTAAGTAAAGAGAAGGCAATTTTCATCATGCAAATTTTTGTTTAGAATGGGCATTTTTCTTTGGCCTGGATCTGTGCATTGTAGAAAGTGATGTCTCAAACATACATGAGCTGATTAATTTGAGAGAAAGCCAAAGCTCATAGATTCCACAGTGATTGCAACGATGTCTGCTAGGCAACTACTCTGAGCTTTTTTTCCCTTTTGAATATTCAATGAAGACTTGACTGAAGACTGGAAATAGAAAATAGACTGACTAGACACTCCCTCGAAATCTGGGATCACCTGCCAGATCACTATCTAAAAATGCCTGTACCATTAAAGACTCTAATAGTGATCTTGGCACTACTAGATTAATGTTAATATTATACTTAACCTAAACAAACCTTTCCCAAGGATCATCAAGTAATATAATATTATGTATTCATAATTTAGTATCAGGGCCACATATGATTGTGTGCCAAAGTTTTAGCTTCAAAATTCTACCTTTGTTATGAGTCTTTTTGACCTTTTTTAATTTTTAGAGGCCCATTTCATAAATATGCTGCTGAGTAATTTTCTTAACCTTTTGTTTAACCTCTTAGATGGAGGAGGGATGTGCTTTGTCTTAACAATCAAAAGCTATAAAACTACTATTCTGAAAATAGTGGAAATAAACACCCTAGAAACTTATACTGCTGTTGGCAGTGTTGCAGTGTTTATTTAAATTGCTAGCAAATTAGTACAAAAGGAATGATGCTGGTAGAGAGGAGCAATATGGTGGAAGTATGCGTAAAGAATTTTCAAGTCTAATAAAGAATGAACAATAAAAGTAGAGCAGAAGAGAAAAAAACATGGAGAGCCATAGATTCAGAAGTGAGTAAGGTTGATGCTGTGCTGCTGTACGCTTCTCACTGTCTTTCAGAAAAGGTTGCCAAACAGTGAAGTATCCTCCAGGTGTATCTCTTCAAAAGTCTGCAAGTTTTTTTTTCCTGAAGCTACTTACCTAGTAGATCACTCACTTCATGAAATCACCAGTTGTTCTTAAGGAAAGATTCCAGTTCCGTACAAAAACTGTTTTGGCAATGAGCAGTAGATGTTGGGTATGTTCAGGCTTATTAAGTGTAATTTTAGTCTTCATATATATGTATAAAATAGGGCAGAGCAATTGCAGTGTTCATTCAAAGTAATGCTCTTATTGTATGATTATCACTGCTGTACATTTCATGTCTTTATTAAAGATGCTTTGGCCAGATGTACACATGTGGAAAAAAATCTTCTCTTTTCCCACAGTTGCACCAAAATACATTAGAGTTCAAACATTTTGAAAGGATTAATCTCTTTGGAGCAGGCAATGAATGAAAAAGAATCTTGCATTGAGTTTCCCAACGAATGGCAGAACAAGACCGTTCTAGTGACTTTTAGTGAGAACTGCCAAAGAAAGTTTGAGATAGAGGACTGAGATCCTTCCCTGCCCACCTAAATGTTTTGTTGAGTGAATTAATCAGTGGTATTTTAAGAACACGGTTGTGGCAGCGCATGTGTGAAGAAGGGCCAAGTCTGTTGCTGCGAAACAGAGTAGATAGCAGTAACCGAGAAAACCCGTAAAGCAAGGAGCATTTGGTCAAGTTTGATGGTAAATGGGTTGTGTCGAGCACTAGCAAGAGCAGAGGGAGAAAATGTCTTTGAATTCAAATTCCGTGAACACCTCATGAATTGTCCCACTGGATCATCATATCTATATTGATTTCAGAGGGTGATGAACTGGTAGTTCCTGAGACATCAGACAACAGCCGGAAGCAGATGGTTCGAAACATCAACAACAAGCGCCGCTATTCATTCAGAGTACCAGAGGAGGAGAGGATGCAGCAGAGGAGGTCGGTATTCAACATGTACTTGTCTTCTGTACATGCCTGTAGGCCCTGAAGGACAGTGACTGATGCCAATGTAGTACTTCGTTTGTTGCTTTCTGGAATGCCCATTCAGATGTTTCTGTCTCTTCAGTACTGCGCTGATCCTCAATGTTTAATTTCTGTTAATACCAGTTTGGATGTGGATATGCACGGGATACACAAGTATTCATTAGTTCAAATTAATTATGTGAAACAGCTGTAATTTGGAATGCATGTCTCCACCTACTGTATACAGGTACATAGGTGTGCACATATACTGTATATATAAAGATCTGTAATAAACACTTCGCAAAAGGAGATTACATTGCTAACTATTCATATGGATTAATTACTTTCAGAGTCTGGTTCTGCTTGTCTTTCTGAAGGCAATTCTACTCTCAGCAGTATTCCAAGGCATCTGCTTTTTTGATTTAGAGCTTTAACTACATAAACATTCTGTAAATCTCAGAAAACACTTCTTCAGAGGACATAGGACTTCAGGATGTGTTTCTAATAGAAGTCTTTAACAGGTCACAAATACTTTCCTAAATGGCAATAAAAATAGGTCTGCACTACTCGCAGTGTTCACAGAGGATGTTGCTGACCATTTACTGTCACTCACTAAAGATGACCTACTACTGTGCTAAGCTACACACCAAGAACTGAGCATTTCAGTTTTCTAACTTCCAACGTCTTCCACCAGTGATTGGCTCCCAGCTTTCCTTTCTTTTTGGCTCTAAGAAAAGTAACAGCTGTGTACAGTGGAGATAAAATTCCAGTTCTTGTCCTTGCCTTTTCTGAGCTGATCACGGTTTGGTCTTAAAATTTTATATATTCTGAGTTCTGAAATGCATCCTTGCCATTTTGAAGAGCTTTTAATTCTGAACACAGACTGAGAAAGGTACTGCGGTATTATTTTAATTCTATTTTCATATTTTGTACTTCATTTTCATCTCCATTTTGTAATACATCACAAATGAGTTCTTCTTTTACCCATCTTACAGAGCTTTTTATCAGCTCATAGTGGTTATATATTCTTTGATTGTTAGTAATTACCGAGTGTGGGCTGTTAGCCTGCAAACAGCATTCTTCTTCTGGCCCCTTGCCCTCTCTTCAAGCTGGAAGCTTGCCCATACCAGTGCTAATAGCAATGATTTATCAATGTTAACATGGTTAAATAGTTAATTTCCATTTAAAAATAGCTGATAATCAAAGTTGTCCATTTTTTATAAATGTCCATCCTCAGCTTGAACGAAATATCTAAACAAAGTATCTTCTCTTCCAGGGAGATGCTACGTGATCCAGAAATGAGAAATAAATTAATTTCTAACCCAACTAATTTTAATCACATAGCACATATGGGTCCAGGAGATGGTATACAGATTCTCAAAGACCTGCCAATGGTAAGTACAAAAGTACATGTGAGAGTGACTGACTGCAACAGAGGCTGCAAATAAGTGAGACAAAGACAAGTACAATTTTAAATGTATATTCAGAGTGTTGATGTATTTCATATCAGGAGAAGTGTAACTAGGGAAGTGGAGCTGAACATGCTCTGCTGTGTGTGACAAAATTTAAACAAAGAGGATGACACTTAGGCATCAAGAGGAGGAGGAGTGGCTAATGCCTCCTGGATTTCAAGGCAAGTTGGCCTCTCAGTGTTGATAATTTTTATGACCCACATGAAAGGACAAAATTAAGAGGACTTGGGCCTGTGTTCTTTGTGGGGGTGGGAAGAGAAATTCCTTTCTCCATGAACTGTAGTTCAGTTCCTTCCTTCTCTTCCCATCTTTAGCTCCATCTTAGCCTATCTCTTTACAGCCTCTTTTCCTCAGACAGTGGAACTTTAGCAGTTTAACAGTGTGTAGTGCCCAAATTTCTTTCCATGCCAAAGACACTATTTTTCATTTTCTCTCCAAATTAAATAGTTTCAGTCAAACAGAACTTCTTACATAAAAACTAACCTTTTGAGTTGAAAAACAGAAAAAGAAAACATGTAATAGCACATGCGTGTTCATTTCTACCAAACCTTCTGTAGGAAATACTCATCTGGAAGTTACTGAAATTTTTGATGAGCTAAAGACCAATTAATGTTTTGTTCATAGGAGGGTATCATACTGTTTGCTTCAAGATACCTTGAGCATTTTATGTGTTATGTATTGTTTTCTAAACTCATCCACGATGACACAGATGTGATTCAGAAGATGCTAATTAGCACTGTAAGAAAGATCAGATGATATAATATCAAACAGATGATATGACTACCACCATAAGACAGACATTAGTACAGGAGTGCTGTCTGAAACGATCATCGCTGTTACTTGGAGTTTGTGCAGAAAGCAGGAAGTAGATGCTGAAACTGGGATTTTCAGATGCTGAAAAGCCCAAAGGAAAAGACTGGAAAATAAAGTGTGCCATGCAGCTGCACTAGTTTAGGAGCTTAGGAGCACATAACCTCTGGTCTTCAGATACTCATTTTACCTCACTTTTGCAGCAAATGGTAATTTTGTGATGGCTTTTAGCTGTGAATTCATTCTAATTACACAAGCCTTGTATTAGCTCAAAGGTCATAACTGAAGTTAGGACTGGTACTTTGCTTCTTACCAATCAATATGATGTTTTGAAAGAAATTCATGAGTCACTTTCTCACACTTAAAAGTGATGAGGAGACATTAGAAAATGTGTACAGTATAGAATTGGTTTCTGCCCTTGTTCCACTGCTGCAGCTTCTTTTTAAAGTTACTCTTAAAAACTCCTTTTTGCAAGTGGCTATCAGTGTTAATGCTGGGAGATGTCACTGCAGATAGAGCAAATTTGACGTGTATTTTTCCAGTAGCTCCTTGCAATACCATGTTGTCTTTGTATTCCTGACTTAACGGGTACAGAATTGCGTCAATCACAGAACTTCAAAGTGTGTGAATTTGAAAGTGTAACTTGAGATTAGGAAATAAATGTTCTGTCAAGAGCTACATCAGTCCAGGCAGCTTTTTCTTTTCCAACAGCTTCCTGTAAGGTATTTATCTGGACTAAGTTTTCATCTTGTCTGTTCCAAACTACCTACTTTGGTTTTCGGGCATAAAAAGAGAAGAAAAGGAATTGTGCATGTATATGATGTTATGGATTGAGTCTAAACTTATATCTGAAAGATAAATTTAGGATTAAAAGAGAGGATGGAAATAGAGGATATTTCCTGGAGAATCAGTACACAAGGTAAAGAATACTCATCCAACCCTGTGTACAGTTCATCTGTGTGGCAGTTTATTTACAAGGACATAGAATTATTTCACTAGGTTCATACCTGGTTCCAAAAAGGTGAATAGCTTTTTATTTTTGCTTCTTGGCATGTATGATGATTTTGCAGCTGGAACATCATCTTTTTATTTTTAAATAGATTAGTATGTTTCAGAAGAAAAAGTATTTTTAAAGAAGTATGAGAAAGATTGCAGCATTTTACTTTGCGAATGCCTGTTTCTGTTCTTGGAAGTGAATGGCAAAATACATTTTTGCATTTAATGAGGGCTACCACTAGGGGGAACAAGTAGTGCAAAGCTAATGGTTTTCTCAAGTTCTCTTCATCCAACTATTTTAGATGATACAGCTTCTTTTTTTTTTTTTTTTTTATGAGATACTGGAATGCAGAAGGTGTATGAAAGAATGGAGTGGGCCTTCTTATTTGCAGTTTCTTCTGAATTATTCGAGCTATGTCAAATTTGGTTGGATCTACTGATACAAATGTGTTGATCCAGCATGAGTTTTCACTAAAGTCGGTATAGTGTTACATAGGCAGAAAGGTCCTTAGTAATAAATAGATTTTAATAGAGAATAGATATTTTAATCTCTGTGTTGGATGAGATTGTCACAAACTAAATAGCCAGCTCAGCCTAGCTTTTATCTAGTGTCCATGGATAAAGCAAATCACAATTGTAATATATATGTATGTATTTATATTTATTTATGAATATATACATGTTCACTTTATATATGCAATGTGAATACAAGAAAAACTCATCTTTGCAGTCCCACTAACCTGCCTCTGCTGCCTTTTTCAGGGGAAATGCCAAAAATTGAACAAAGTGCAGAATTAGACCTGGTAGCAGTGGCCCATGGGTGGCTGGGCTGCGATGTGTCGGTGGGCAGGAGGGGACGTGCACTCGCGCTGCCTCAACCTGCGGCGTAACCGCCTGGTGGGTGCAGAGCCAGCGGGAGCTGGCTCACGCTCTGCCCGCTACTGTTCTTAGTGATGTCTTGTGAAAGACCAGCTTTAGAGAGTTTCATTTGTATGGTAAATGTACGAAATGAAAATTGGATAAATGGGATCTTTTAAACTTTCTCAGGCTATTTGATATGTTGTATCAGATGCCTGCATGTGTGCGACATACCTGTCCGCATGTGATTGCCCTTGCTGAGACAGCCACACGTGGGGGAAGATGCTTTCTCTGTGTGTTGTTGACAAGGTCTTGGCATGTGACAGGCACATGATGTGAACAGTGAGTGATGTTTATGGCAAATTTAGGCTGCTAGCCTCGTCCCACGTTGTTCTCTCCGTGAACGGACACCCTTGACTTCAGTATAGTCCTGTGTTTGGGTAGAAACAAACATGCCCAAGACTCAGAGTGAGATCAGATTTAAGAGAGAAAATATTAGAGGTTATCAGGCAATTTTAAATATGCATCCTTCTATTCTCCCTGGTGAGCAGTTACTCAGGGGTCTGGCTTTGACGAGCAAGTTGGTGGGCTACAATACAACAGAAACCAGAAGTTCTTGTTTGCTATTAACAGAGCCATCATCAGTACATATTTGTATTTTATTGATGTGGATACTAGGTCTGGGTCATTGTCTTGTTTTGTACAATTTAGAATCGTTCCTGTTAGTATATCCCCAAACTTATTTATTTACATGTTTTTCTTCCCTAGCAGCCTGTCACCAATTAACTGGCCGTACAGTCTGGCCTCCCTTCTGCCCTCTTGTCCCTTGAAGCCACTTTATCGTGGACGCTCCTTTGTAGTGAAGATCTGAAATCTGGAACTGCACTTACTGCAGCACAGACCACCTCTCTGTGTACATCAGATGTACAGGATTGATTTTGCTTTCATATTCTGCATGTCTAAGTATTTTACATACAAAGCTAGTCTTGACTGCCATTCTATTTCAACATTATGCTTCAGTTTGACCTCATTCTACATGAGCCATTATACTTCCATTCTAGATGATGTGTGAAGCTTTGCTTGTTTCAAATGAGAAACTTTTAGAGTAAACGAATACTTACCCATATTTGGTATTCTTTAAAGAAAGTGGGAACCCCATGCATGCACCTAATGGTGGAATCCGTGGAGAAAGTTCCATGGAGGATCATTTTAAAAACCTTGCTATATCGTGGCTTTCTCACATTCATGAATGCTGGCTAAATATTTTCATGGTCTGCAGCTGGCCCACCCTCTGCTTTTTAGCTTGTGATTTTAGACATTCTCTTTTCTCTCTTATTGGCTTTTAGGAACTTAGCTGACTTTGCTGGCAGTTCTCTGTTGTGAGCAGATAACTCGGCAAAGTCTGCTTTCCTGGAATGGTGGCTTCTTGTACTGATATTTAGATGCTGCTAAACTTACTAATAACAATTTAATGTATATTATGTCTTATATGCCATAATGTGGTAATTGATGTTTTAGTTAACATGCAAAGCCTCATAATAACCATGTGTTTAAAAAAAAAAAAAAAAAAAAAAGAGTTGGATTTTACCAGCTGAAATGAACAGCTACAATAATGTTTGATAATATGTATTGGGATGTGACTTAATGTTCTTCCAGACTTTAATACGTTCCACATACAAAAAGTAGTGCCTTAGGTTTAGCAGAGGGGTAAGCTGTATTTTTACCATATTTTATTTTTTTAACTCCTAACATTTCTAATGTTACTTAGATCTGTTTGTTTTAAGGAGATTAAACCAGTTGGACAAGGGGAAGAGAAAATTAGAAGTTAGAAATTAGAAAAGGCTTTCTGATTTCCTGGTAGCCATTGGGCAAACCATCCCCTTGCAGGCTGACCTGCTGAACACGTACAGATGGCACGGAGAGGGAGACCAAGCCTTGGAACACTCTTCTGTTAAATCTGGATTTAGATGACTAAATTACAAGAGCACTTGTGTCAGCACATTCCGTAGGGATTAATTAGAAATTGTTTCTGTTTAATTTGCAGGATTATTTGTCCCCTCTCTTTCTTTGTCACAGTTTGGGAGCACATTGCTCAGTTGACCTATTAAAAACATTTGAACTCCCCAATGTTTTGCACCTTACCTGCCAAGGGCCTAGTCTGCTGCAGCGCAGAGAAGGCAGCACAAAGTCCCTTCTTCGCTCGAGCGCTGTGAGGATTGAGGGTGTGTGCAGGAGGACATAGGCCTTGTGTCGTTTGTCTACAGCAAATTGTCCCTGTTGTCTGACACTAACCAGTTCACCTTCCCACACGACCTGTGTCCCTATCCTGTTGAAACACTGTTCCCTCACGTTAGAAATACTCTGTGTGTGTTGTACGGGTGATACTTGATTTTAATGGAATCGCTAAAATGCATGAATAACAGAAGGAAATCTCTGACGATCTTTAACTGTTATGTATTCCCATCTTTTCTTCTCCCCACATCATCTCACCTGTGTTCACCTTCCTTTGTTTGTTATGTCGACTTTAGATTGTAAGCTCCTCAAGGCAGGGAACCGATGCTTCTCAACTGTCTGTAAAGCACCTTTTACACCTGTGGTGCTCTTTGAAATATCAAATAATAATAAATAATAGAATCGATTCCCAATGAGTTAAAAGTTTTATTTGTTTTTAATGTTTTAGCAACAGCAAGGGTGGCAGGCCCGTATGACACCATGTAAGGAAGGTGCTCAGAGGACTGGGGGTGACAATGTAAGAACCTGTGTGTTGACGGGCGAGCAGGGTTGCTGTCTGGCTGTTCTTCAGTGTTTGACTGCTCTTGTGGACTGCTGTTGCCGATGTAACCTGTACAACCATCCTTCATTGCTTTCTCTCTCTGTTGTCTTCGATAGCAGCGTTCCCCTTATCAATTCCCTCATCATCACTCCTGTCTGATCTCCTCTCCGAGCAACTTTGAGCACATCTACCACATGACTGTTAATTCAGCTGAAAAATTCCTCTCTTACGATTCCATAAACCCTGCATTTTCCCAGCCTCCACGCTCTGTCCTCGGTACTCCAGACTTTATGACTCTGAGGGTATGAACGGCTGAGTCAGGTGTTCACTCTACTAACACTGTGTGGTTTTCCTTTTGCCTGGCTATTAACATGGGAGAAAACCCCTTGTAAGCAGTTTCCTTCACCCCTTAACTTTCTTCTGTCCCAGCTGATTTATTTTCTGCTATCCGCTGTGGTCTTTCCACAGCTCTGACATGCCAAGAAACAGGTACTTCATGGCTTTAGAAAAAAGACAACAAAAGTATAACGACTGGGCTGAACCTTTTGCTATGAGAATAGCATTTTTAATCACCAGAAAGGGTGTGGGAAGTTTCAGTTATAAATTCTGCGTTCCACAGTGTTCATCCTCCAGCAGTCAGTAGCAGGATGCTGTGTATCAGGTTGCATTAGGAGAAGGTTCTGGACCTGTCTGTGTTGGACCAACCTTTCAAACTATGATGAAATCATGTGGAATATTAGAAGCTTTACACAGTATTATACACCGATTGAGACAGGCACTGGTTGTGCCTCAGACAGTTTCTAGGTTAAAGTAAGTGAAGTCAGAACAAGTACAAGCAGGATCAAAAATTAAAGCTGATGGCAACTTGCTGATGCGGATCCTCTTAATCCTGGTAGTTTTAAGGAGAGGCTGAGGGAGGATACTGTTCTGTAGGTATCCTTCCAGTTGCAATGTAAACTGGGGGGATGGAAGTGGTCTTCTCTTTATTCTTGTATTGTGCATCCTGGCCCGACTACACGGGGGTTGCTAGGTCCTGTAGAAAGACAAGCCATACTGAAACAGGCACACAAGTACATGCTGCGTGTTGTAATTGTGCACCGTGCTGTGGCCTGCAGTTCTGCTTGGGACAGATTCGCAGATAAATCAGGAATAATGTGTGAGGTAGATGTATGTGATGGTGGTTGGTAGCTCAGGGTTTGAACGGGTCTGAGCCATGTCTGCTGCTGTAATGGAAACACTGCTGTTGGTTTCTGTGGCCTTTGGATGCCCTTCAGACATGCATGGCAAACCTTCACTGCCAGACTGCTTCGAGTGCCTTTTGGTTGCTGTTCTAGATCCCTATCGCTGGGCAGGTGTTTGGATACATACCTGCATACAACACTAGAGAGAATTTTAAAATGCAGGAGGAAAATTCATCTCTTCCATATAGCTCCAAAACAAATTGGCACAGCTGAGCTTTGACTGGTGACATGCACGGTCACCTGTCACTGTTGTGAAGTCCCAGTTGTCACAACCATTAATATTCGAAAATGAAGTTGGCAGTGTTTTGGAAAACGTGCCCTGTGATGACAGGTCTGCATCCATCCTGGCTTTTCTGGTAGGAGAAGAGAGGCAAATACACAAGAGCAATGCTCTGTTGAAATGCAAAAAAAAAAAAAAAAAATCTATTGTTAAGCCAAATTTAAAGTTGTTTCTCTCTTAGAGGGTAATTAAAGCTGTATTTCAGTTCTGATTTTAACTTTTTTTTTTTTAATTACTATAAAATTTTCTCTGTTTAATATGCAGTGATGTATCACCGGACTGTGACCCATTCTCTACCTTCCCTTTCTCATGTGAGTAGTCTCCATGGGATCAGTAAGGGATGACCCCTGATGTTTAAGACAATAACTCTTAATTTTTGCTTTAGGAGCTCCTTCATCCTGATGTTGCAGACTACTAGCATAAACTGGAGTAAAAAAAAAAAAGTGAAGTGAGCAACCTGGAGCGACAAGATCTTGTACCTGTTAGCTCCTCAGAGCACTAGAGGTTTAGTCTTGTATGAAGAAAAGCGTTTGTCTCCTTTGTGGCTGGAGGGTAGAGATGCTGTAAGCTGTATGGAAAGCAAGGCTGTGAGGTTTGGTTTCATGTCTGTTCATCCTCCCTGTGTGTTTGGAGATTTAAGTGTAAGAAGGGTAGCACTCCTGATGGAACCGTGCTCCCAGGTACAGATGGGATGTTGGAACCAAAACAACATGGGATCCATAGGGGAGGTGAGAAATGACTCGTTAAAGTAGGCTTTTAGATTCTGTCATATTATTTCATGGAAGAATTAAAAGCTCAGGTTTATAATGTAAGGAGCAGAACGCCACTTTAAACCAGAAAACCCAAAACAACGAGCAGCAGCATGGTGGACAGAGGAACACGGGCAAACAGTTCCCTAGAGGTGTGGTGACCGCTGTCCCCACGCGCGCTCTGGCCGCGCTGCCCGAGCAGGCAGCGTGGGAGCGGTGGGGGCGGGGGTGGGGGCTCGGCCGCGCCGCAGAGCCGCCAGCCCAGCAGCGACCCCACCCGCGCCCGCGGCTCCCCAGCCGCTCCGCGTCCCACTGGGAGGGAGTGGGATGCACTGAGCCAAGTCAGGTCTTTCGCCTTGTTTCAGGGTGATTCGCTTTGCCCAGCAAGCAGATCCTCTGCTGCTGATTCTTTTTATTTCCTCTTTCACCTGTCTCCATTTGGTTCAGCAGTGGGGATGAATTTTCCTGCTAGGGTTTGAATTGTTGCTCTAAATGAGGGGGTTTTGTCTCTCTAAGTAAAGCAAGGTCAGGTTTCTTTTTTTTTTTTTTTCCCCTTTTGTTTTTAACTTGCTGCATTTTGCTGCTTTATAGCTACTGCTAATAACTGCCGTTTATTTTTCTTTGAATCCCCTTTCTGCATCACGTGCATATCATTTCCAGGAGTTTTGGTCCAAAATGCCAGGGTTTCGGGCATGTGCTTACTTTATTTTTAGAACAAAGAACAATGAAAGATTTGCTTTGTGGAGAAACTTTCTACAAGGAATTACATGGACTTTGCAAACTGAAGTCATGAAAAATAATCATTATTAGAATGTACTGTTAAATGAGTCTCTTGCATACACCAACCTGTTCCCTCCTTCCCCTAATGCCTGTATGTTGTCTGTTCAGTCACCGTTAAGGAGGTTATTTGCCTTATCATTGAACATAAATGTTCTCTTTGCAAAATGAATCATTGTAGGTTATACAGGTACAAAAGACCCTCCTTGCAACTCCAGTGTACTAACCACAGCGCACACGTTTGCGTGGTGCTGCACTTGCCTTTCCTTTCTCAAAACACAGCAGTAACTTATTCTTTAGCCCACGAGCTCCTTTGTGTATTGTCCGGGGAGCCTCCGTTGTTTAGGTACAGCCAGGGTGCTCCTGCTCTTACCAGTAACTCACATTGGTTATTGCATGGTGAAGGACACAGGAACAAACACTTAGTATTTCATACTCCAAAGTAGGTTATTAGTTCACGTTAATTAAAAAAGAAGAAGCAGGGGGAAGGTAAGAGACAGCAGTATGATCCCACGAATTATTTAAGAGACTGTTTTCCATTGAGAATAGTGCAGCAATGAATGAGAGGAAAATTAGACAGGGCTTTTTCACTGGTAAGGTCTCTGATGCTCTTTTGTTGGTGTTTGAGAGAGATCTGGGAACAGGTGGAGAGATTTCAATTCTTTCTTCTTTGTGCATGTTAAATATCAGCCATTTCTAACCCACTGGGAGAATGAGAAGCAAAGGGGTCTGTTACAGCAGTGGCTCTAAGGATCACTGTAAGACTGGATTTGATAGCAAGTTGGTAACAATTACCTGAAAGCCTGAACTGTGTAAAATCTGTTCATTACAAAGCCTCTGTTTAATTATCTCTTTTAAAATACAGATAGAAAAGTTGGTATTCTCTGAGAATACCCTTGAGGGGGTGGAATTTTTGTTCTGGTGTGAAATTTCCGTAACATCCCAGCTTAAAAGGCATTGCAACTGTTGTTTTGTGTATGGCTACTGTATCTCAGAGTGAGGATGGGGAAATCATTAAATATAAATAAGAAGAAATGAACAGTTACTGCATGGGGCGTTCTGTAGGGTGGAAATATAGTAATGCTCAGAGCTGTTCTTTTCACGTTCTGTACCTGTAAAGGTTCCCTAAACCTAATTCTAGTTAGTGCTAATGACTTAATAGTGCAAATCATGTTAGGAGCAGGATGAAGTCTCCTGTTTAGCCAGGGATGAAATGATATGCATGGGCAGTAGAAAGTTTCTCTGGGCTAAGACAACAGCTCATACACAGAAAAAATGGGCTAAATAAGCTGAGAAGCCTTTTCTCCTAATGTCAGCCGTAAGTTAACAGAAGCAGAAATAGAATCTCCCCAGAAGTCACTTCCAAGTACTCTCTTCCCTTCTTTTAAAGACAACTTACGTTTAAGGAAATGCCATATCCAAGTAGAGAAATTGTGTTTTATCTCTTCCCTCAGTAAAGGACCACTTCAGTAACTTAACAATTTAGAAAATTGCACTGGAACTCTGAGGATAGAAAACAGAAGTGATAATCAAAATATGTAGAAAAACAGTGGCATGTGCTCCGGTCATCCTCTTTGAGCAGGCTGAAAACAGGAGGCCAATTCTCACTTTGGGTCAACTGGTGTAGGTCTGGAGCAGTGCTGTTAATACCTTTGGAATTACATAAATAATTAAAATACAGATCGATCCAGTATGTATTCATAACTCTGCAGGCGTTAGGGATTAACATCGTTACCGTATGAAGTTACACATTCATGGCACAAATGATGGCACTAAAGAGAGAGATTATAGTAAGATCCTTAGAAGCTTGTGTTCAGAAAGAATGCATTATGCAATATAAAGTGAATATATCTATAGCAGCTTAATTAGGCTTGCAAACCATCCTTTCAAGGAAATTCTTGAATTATTAGACATGCTCTTTCAGTTGTCTGCATATGTCCATGTAATTCAGCACTTCACTATTGCGTTGCGTGTGCTTCCAGTCTCTGCACTAAACTCCAGAATATTAGTTTGCAAATTTTGCTGACTTGCTGCCCAGATAATTCAGCTCTGGTAAGGTTGGGGTTTTAATGTATTTTGGGGCCTTATTTCATAACATCCAAGGTTGAGCCAGCAGTCAATAAGTAAACATGTCGTGTTGTGTGTCTGCATTGCAGAATCTTCGGCCTCAGGAAAGTCGGACCGTGTTCAGTGGCTCTGTCAGTATCCCATCGATCACGAAATCCCGCACAGAGCCAGGACGATCGATGAGCGCGAGCAGCGGGTTAGCAGCACGTAAGCAAACAGAACTGTGTTGCTTTGGGGTCTATGCACGAGTATTTTAGGGAAAAGGCTGTGCTTGCATTTGCTTCTGTCCATGCTGCTGCCACTAGACAGGATTTTCAGAAGTGATGGTTGACTGTATTCCTATTGAGGGCAAGCACAGTGTTTCAGTCTTGCTTTCAGAGGAACACATGAGTAAGCAGCTAGCACATTTGAGAGTCCCGCATTTGTAACTTGTCAAATTTTAAAAACTGACGATGTTAGAATTTAAATTACCTTCTTACCCTTAGGACTACGCTGCTGCTGCTGCTTAAGTGTTTTAAATGAGTTCACAAGTTCCGTGGTTATTAACTTTGTTGCTGAACTGTGTAGAGCTCGAGGCCTCTCTTGTTGCTAAAGCAAAGAGAAGGCAATAGAAAATTGGCTGCCGGTATGGAAGAGTTGCACTGCGTTGCAACCACCTTTGCTAGTGCTGCCATGCTGCCGTTGTGTGCCAGGGTCAGCACAGTGACCTGTGCTGAGACCAGGCAAGTGACTAAATAATGGACCTTGTGAAAATAGAGGCAAGGCTGGTGTCTCAACATCTCTAGATTTTTTCCCTACCTGTAGCACGGACCACATCTGCAGCATGTTGCCAAGGGCTTGCAGAAAGCACGTGTGTCTGCTGTAGTCTGTGCCTGCCGGCACAACCCACCTGCTCCCTGGGAGAGGGGCCACTGGAAGTAGGCTGCCACCACAGCAGTTTCTACAACTGCTGTCTTTGGTGGGAACACAGTGACCGTGTGTGCCAGGTCGAGTGTGCTAATGCTGACATGTCAAAGGAGGGACCAGAGGATCCCTAGGAAGAACTGCAGCTGGCAGCAGACAAGATAAAAGCCCACAGGGCCTGCAAACCGTGAGCTGAGCATCTGGGGACATGCTGGAGGAAAGCAGAACTAACCAGAGAAACAGCTAACGAATTTCTAGTACCTCGAGTTGGGTGTCTGTAACACAGTTTAATCCCTCCACACGTTTTAGGATCGTCTGCACAGAACGGCAGTGCTTTGCGGAGGGAATTCTCGGGCGGTAGCTATGGAGCGAAGCGTCAGCCTATGGCATCGCCCTCAGACGGTTCCTTGTCCTCTGGTGGCCTGGACCAGGGCAGCGATGCACCAACAAGGGACTACGAGCGAGAGGTGAGTGACAGGAGGAAGAAGAGAAAATTGAGGTGTGTTGATAAAGATGAGGTAGTTAAATTCTGTCAGTGGTTTCGCTACCAGTTTGGGAGTCGCTGACAATGAAAATTTGTATTTCCAGTACTTCAAGCTATCCTGACAAAAGACGTTGGCCAAACTGTGTCTGGTTCTATTATTTAACATGCAGAGAACTCTGTGCTCCTTCCCCGGAGATAGGTGGATAGTGAGACTCCCAAAAATACTGGCCCAGAAGAGCAACAGCTTGATAATGACCTGTGACAGCTTTAAGTGGTGATATTCCTTCTGCCCTTTATTTGCAAAGACTCCTAAGCCATCTTAGCAACCATTTCATAGGAGACCTTTTGTACTCAGAATGCCTCAAGTTAACAAGGTATTTTAAGAATTATCATATAATAATTTTGTTTGGAGCAGAAACTTGATTTAATAATTTATATTCTGTGCAGAACAGACTGCCATTATGATAGAACTGCAGTCCTGCTCAGTGCTGAACTCGATCCCTCCAACCAAGAATGCTTACATGGGAGGTTTCAATCTGAAGTTGGCCAGCAAAACTTGCCCAACCCATTTTCTTACCAAAGAGTGAGAAAATTAGAGATCACACCAGCTTTTCATGGTACTGAATATATCTTTTCAGTTGAAGCTGGAAGGCAACCCAAACTCCAGCTCAGACGTAGTTGCATTCTGCTGTACTTTGGAAGATCCAACTGCAGTAACTCAATTAGGATGCTTTGAATTAATATCCTGGGAGTGACAAAGAGGCAGCTGTGATGAAGCCCGTACCATAGATTCCTCAGTTTAGTGCAAGAGCATCTCAGATCATAATCTGTGAAAAAGCAGGAGCCATTACAGCTTCAGAGTCAACCCCAGGTTGCACACTGCTGACCAGGAGGCCCTCGGCAACATGCAGACTGCAATAATCCCGCAGGTGCTGTGCCCTTACGGCAGCATCAGTTATGCCTGCTGAAAGCAGAGTGACCTGACCACTGACGCATTAGTGTCCCCAGACCAGGCAATTCTGAGCAAAAAAAATTCCTTAGTATTTCTGGGGCCGAGCAAAATACGTGGAAGCCTTTGAATCCAGTCACCTGTTGCTCACACACCCTCAGTCACTCTCAAATGTGCTGTCCTGTCACTTACTGGTGTTCTTCTGTGCCTTTGGGCTGCAGGACTCTGACTCTCCAAGACACTCTACTGCATCGAACAGCTCCAACCTCAGCAGCCCTCCCAGCCCTGTTTCTCCTCACAAGACCAAGAGCCTCTCCCTGGAGAGCTCTGACCACGTGAGTTGGGACTCATGAACTGCTTCAGCATTCAGATTTGACATCACAGCAGCTTGCTGTCCCCATGGCTGTCCCCTTCACTTGTTCCAGTTCTCACCTTCATCATCCTAACCCTCCCCATTCCCTGGCTGAAAGTGATCTGGGAGCGGGGTGCAGAGGAAGGTAAAAGCTGGTCATCTTCAGCTCCGTTCGGCACTGCCTCACAATCCCTTCCCCAGATTTGACAGCAGCAAACCAGCAAAGTTAGGGTGTTGGTAAATATCAGATGCTGTAGATTTGTATTAGTATTGGTTTCATTTTTGTGGTTACAGCTGCTTCATTTTTAAAGACATATTTATCCCACCCCTCTTCCACTTCCCAAAAAGTAGCTTAAGTAGACCAGAGCAGTATCAACAAGAGAAAATTCAGAGGGATTTTGTTTTCATACAATAGCTCATTGTACTGTACAAAAGTAGCACAGAGACCCCTTCCCCTGCATGGGGAATGATCAGTATGTCAGAGGCACATAAAAGCTTTCAGCCGCCACGTTTGAATGTCAATCTGATTGTCGCCAGCAAATCCTTATTGATTAAAATGATGCATATTTTACTACAGTACAGAGTTTAAATAAATACGCAGATGTTAGAGTAAAATACGTATGTATATATTCAAAGAAAAAAAAAAAAAAAGCATTGTGTATGCAGCAGAAGATGGATGCTTATTTAAGAGAGCCTTTAATTTAAGATTTGTGTTGTCCCTGTTTTCATGCTCGGTAATATACAGACTTGGAGGCCTGGCCTAAAACCTTTCGCAGGACAGATTTGCCTTTTGCGTAGCACTCGCGGCGCTGCCGGGCGAGGTCCCTGCAGCGCTTTCACCACATTTCCTTACTTCTGGTGGTAGCGTGACTGAAGCTGTAATTCCTCCTTTCCTGTTACTCCCCATCCTTGGCAAAACCAGCGACGATCGGGGACGATCGGGAAGCGACCCCCTGCCCCGCCAGCCCAGGGCCCCGCCGGCCCCGCGCTGCCCCCGTTTCTCGCGTGCTAGCTGCGCGGCTGAGCAGCCTGACGGCGTGCTACAGTAGAGGTAAGCAAGGCAGCAAGGGAGCTCAGTGCAGCAGGATTCTGCAGGAAAACTGTTTCCCTGGGTCAGCCTCTGAGCAGGTTTAACTCGGACGGGAGCAGTCTTCCGCGTCTCCTTGACCATCCCTAACCAGAAAACTGTTACTGTTGTTACCAAATACTGGTTGCTAATACACATCAGCCACACGAGTGCCCTTAGCCCGAAGCTAGCCGTGGCTGGCTATGCTGTCACTGTAGCAACGAAGAACCTTGAAGACTGACCTCACACTGTTCACACTGTGGTAGTCGAAGATGCCTCGTCACCCACAACTGCCATGCTGGCAAGGTTGGTTTTCCTCTCCCTCCCTACCCGCGCTGTGGGTTTGTGCAATTTGCAGTTGTCTCTATGTGCTCACCTGCTGGTTGGTTCCAATAGCTGGTCAGGCTGGAGGGCAGAAGGTACTGCTGTGGAAGAGAGAGAGCCTGCTGAAGTTGCAAAAATAATAAAAAGCTGGAGCTGGTCATGCAGTCAACAGAGTAGTGAGAGACTGACGTACAAATGGATGGTAAGAGGAGGATGGGCGTTCTCTTTAGTTAGCAAGGCAGATGTGTTTTTCATTTGGGGGTGTGTTGAAATGAGCCTCTCTTCTCAGTAGTATTGTTGCTGGCTTTATACTATGACCATACTAAAACATGTAAGGGCTTTCTGTATTTAGAATACTGGTTTTTGTGGGTTTCAGAAACTCGTTATGGCTCTTATTAAACCATTCCCAATTCTTGCAGTCAGCAGTATATAGTGTTTCACCCACGCAGAGATGTTTGGAGTTTTCCAGTTTCCGTCTTCCCTAATAGAAGTTGTAGGTAAGTTCAAACCATGTACAGTGATTTCCAGTTATGATCTAAATGTGAAACAGGGAATGAGACACATCATCTACTCCATTTAATCGTGCTGGGTCTCCTAGGTAAGATTTCTCTTTCACTCTGACTCAAGAGGCTTGTCCAAGTTTAAGCTCATTCAATGTTTTTTTGGGACAGGAATTGAAGAAATTTTTTTTAGAAGCCATCATATCAAAAGCCTGTCTCTCTCCCGTTTGGGTTTTTCAGAGTAGCAAGCTGGTTGTGTATGTTTTCACTTCAAAGCTACTACTTTTGCAAGCCCGGTATTTCATTATTAAAAGCTTTAGCAAACAGCTAAACACTTGAATTAATTCCTCCCGGAAAAGTTTTCTGTCTTTCAGAGGGACAGATAGGCAGGGCGTTATTGGCATGATTAAAATTCCACACCAGCTTCTTTTTAAAGGCTGCATATTGCTTCAAGTATAGCCACTGCTTTTTCCCCCCAATTCCCTCCTTTTGGTGAAGCATGTCCACACACTTTTCAAAGCCTTTGCAGACTAGTTTTGTATTTACTGTATGTTGTATTTAAACATTAATCTTGTTTTGTTGTTGAGAGAAGGCATTTAAACAGCAGTCATTAAGACAGAGCAGCCTGCGTGACAGCCCCAAGAGAGGGTCACAGGATCTTTTTTGTGGACTTTTTTTTGCAGTTGAGCTAATGCTCTAGCTGAAAATGGAACCCAAAAAACCACAATACAACAAATAATTAAATGGAGTAAACCCCTATGTTTACTCCATGATGGTGCCTGCAGTCTGTTGATATAAAACTGACATTTTCAGGCAGAGTGTAGGTCAGTCGTGTTACAAAACTAAGCTCCAAATGAGAAGAGCTCTACAGGCCTACGCTGTTTGTACACCACAATTTCTAACCCTTGGGAGTCTCCTTTAGGATTACTGTATTTAATCATTAGTTTGGTACTTGCATTTTTATATGCATCTGTTCAAAAGAGAAACAGCAACTGTTCTCTCAGTTGAAAAGCAAATGACCACATCACTTATTTGAAAAGAGAAAAATTGTCCTAAGACTTGAATAATTTTATATATTTGGGGACCATTCAATTATATGCTCAATTTTAAACCACACTCCTTTTTTTTTGTTGGTAATGAACACTGAAGACATGCATACTATAGTTGAGCTTTTTAAATACTCATTGGGCTAGGAGAAGTAACTCGGTCATTTGAACTGTAAGACTCTTGACTGGTATCTCAAAGGCAGTTGTCTCTTAAGGTTTGATGTTTGCTACTTTGCACTGTAGCATTGCTTCAACTTCACAGTTAGAGGGCTGCGTTCTGTTCAGGGAGCTTAAAATCTCCCACTGGATTTTTGACTGTAGCCAGTGTTCTCTGGACACAGGATGTATCTAGCCGATTTTTTCCTTTTGGCTGAGACTGAAGGTGTTTGCATTTTTGACACTGCTTAAACGTATGGGGTGTTGAGTTTCTGCATTATTTTTTTTTTTTCTATTTTGAAGGCAACAAAGGATCTGAACAGATTCAGGCAGCTACTAAGGATTCCAGGTTATAGAATGGAAAAGGTTTGGTAAATAGTTGTCCCCTGCATGTGTGCGCACACATACATGGCTTCCTTCCACCTTTCATAAACCCAAAAGCAGGGTGATAGTACTCTCTTCTCTCTTGCCTTTGACCTGTGGAAGACAGCTGGTAGTTTCAAAACAAAACAAAAAAATAACAATTCCTGAGGCTGTGGTGAAGTAGTTGCTTCTTTTCCTCTTGGTTAGTTGCTGTGGCTTGTTATGAATGTGCGTTTTGCCCATTTTAACAAGTTTCAAAGCTCAGTCAGGAATATTATCTCTATGATAAAATTCCAAGCCAGGTGTGTTATTCTCAGGTATATGGCAGAGGGAAGTTAAAGTCCAAACAGGAGATTTTATTTATAGAAATGTAGTTTAACCACACCTAACAGGTTCACAGAGTGTGTCAGCCTTTCAAAACAACAGTTGGAGTATTAACATAGAAACAGCTTCTGGCATCATTTTGTCTTGCGTGGCCAGACCCTGAATGCCAGGACAAACATGCTCTTGGGTGGAAGAATATGGTTGGTTGTTTTTTTCCATTTATGCACATTGTTTCATTTTAAATGAATACATTAAGGGTAAAACTGATTGCAGTGCAAGCACCCGCACCTCCTGAGCCTTAGCCTGAGAATCAAAGTGGCACATAGGAGCTTCTGCTGTGGTTTTTTTGTTTCTAGGAATCAGTTCCATGGAGGAAATGAGACAGCTTTCTGCACTAACACAAACTGCACCCTTCTGCGTGCTTTGTGTTCACACTGTATCTGATAGACACCCCCAAAACCACTCTGCTGCAGGCTTACCAGTCAAAATTCCAACTCTGTCTTTCATTCCAGCCGCAGCTCAGTACAACCTCTTTTCATTCTGCATTTAAAGTCTCACCCACAGGGAAGAAATCCACAAGCAAACCAGTGTTGCTATTTCAGAGCAATTATACCTGCCTTTTTATGTACAACAGTTTCATATCATTTATTTTTAATTTTTTTTTTTTTTTTTAGGTTTTTCATTGTAATATTATTGTACAGTTTTGCATGGCATAGATGTAATCACTTTTTTGTTTGAGTATAAAAGCTGACAAGTGTGCGTGTGGGGGAAAGATTCTGCTTTTTGCCTCTTCTCACTATTTTGTTTAATGCCCTCAATGTTTTAGGGGACATTGTAAGAGATTCTCTGCTACAGAACAATGATGTAGATTCTTTTGCACAGAAATATTTAAGGTGGAAAAGTCAACAATGTAAAAATGACTTACCACCAATATTTTATGTTGGTAACACACTTAATATTAACCTACTTTGATGTACTGCAATAAAACAGGGAACTGTTAGAAATGTAGCTGTTCTGTCTTTTTTTTCCCTACCTCCACACATTAAGCTTTGAGGAGGAAATGTTAAGGGGAATAATGGCATTCTTGAAGATAAAACCAGTATGTTGTAACACACGTCAGCACAAGTACACAGTGGGAAGAAAAGGAATGTATGAGAAAATGGATTTAGCTCTTAACACCTTTCAGAAAAAATTACCAGAACCCTTTTGAAAAGTCAAAGTCAAACCACCTTATACTTTGGCATATTGAACTTCTTCAACTACAGTTTTGCTGACCTTTTTCTTAGGTCATCTGTTCTGCATTAATATTTGTAGTCATTGCTTCTGAGGTTTCTCTTTCATTTAGTTACACATCAAATGTTTCACCTGTCCTCATCTTAAGAGGCTGGATTCCTATTTATGACTGTGCTACCAGCATCAAATTGACTTTCATGCACCTTTAAGTGCATCTCAACACCTATGAAGTTTTGCGTGTGCCCTGACCTTTTCACATCATCCAACAGTTCTTCACAAGTCAACTTGAGATTTTCTCCACGCCTGAGTCTAGTTGCTGGGACATCTTCATTCATTACACTTTTGGCAGAAGTCCTAGCTTTGATTATATGCTTCAGCCACCCCCAGCCCTGCAGCAGGAATACAGGGCCAGGCTGTTGCTGATCCTGTGCTGCCAGCAGTGCCAGCCTGGGCCGTCTCATTACCAAAGACAGCCAGCAAGCAACAGGCACCATGCTTCCCGCTTCTTACACGGCCACAGGCTACCTTACACTACAGGAACTTCTGATCCTGTCCCGCTCCTTCCACCAAAATTATTACTTTTCTCAGCCCCTGTTCCAGCTTATGTAGATTGAAGCCCATGGGCCCATCCCATTTAGGCCACTGCAGGTCCCTCCTAGCTGCTGTAGCTCTGTGAAATACTATTTCCTCTGCTCTTGACTTTTACAATCAGTTACTGTATTTCTGGTTTCCCAGGGTTCCAGTTGCACCATCACAGCTGTGAAGGTCTTGGGAAACAGGCCTTCTACTGTCAAGGGATTTGGACATTAGAAAACCAGAAAGTGAACTGCATGTTAGGCTTCCTGTCCAGCTCCTCAGCGTTCATTTTCCATTTTGATGTAGCAGCCAGGTTGACTAAAGAAAGAAGGTAGGAAAATCACTGCTACCCCACATAGCCTGCATCTCGATTCTTTAGAATGGAAAATCCCTGTCTTTAGAGAGCAGATTTAACTTCCAGCTTGCCTTATGGAACAAAGAACTGGTTTCTGCACGAGGATTTTTCTAGAATTAAAAGCTTGCTGCAGCACAGAAACGTTCGCATCCTCAACCTACATGTGTGGTTCAAGCAAATGCACAGGCTGGTACAGAGCAAGCAGCAGTGATCAAGTGTTCTTGCTCACTGTAAAGTGTCACCACTTCTGACTTGGCTCACCTTTTCTCCACAGCCATTACACTGGCATATAATTCCTCATGTCTCAAATCTCTGGTCAAACTACAGAAATTAACACTTTTGGAACACACACAAAAGGCTGGGGAAATTAGGGACTGAGCACTCTAAATCTCCCAATAAAGAAACATCTTACCTTCTGCTAGTTGCTACTCTTTAGGCAAATGCAAAGCTACTCCATATTTAAGCTTGATGTTATTCTTAAACCCTCTCTCTGGCAAAGGAAGGGAAGTGCTTGCCGAGAGTTAAACACTCACGCCCCAGCATGGTACAGAAAAGATCTGTGGTCCCATGAACAAGTACATACCAATCTCACATTCTTGTGCTTACTGGAAAAGTGAATTGTAATGCTCTTTGAATTATTTTGCCTTCTTTGCAAGTCCTCTGAAGATACTGGCTCTGAATCTTCAGTTTCAGAAATTCTGCTCTGAAGTTCACCTAATCAATGTACTTGTCTGCTTTTTAACCTTTAACATGAACATTTAACATCTCAAACAATTCCACTGTTTTTAAAGCTGCAAGGTCTAGACCCAAAGGAAAACCACTAAACAAGTGCTCGAAGTTAAACAGCTTAATGCAAAACTATTACTTCACTGAGCAGCAGAGTTCACTCTTCTCAAAAGGTTAGGAATTTCCTGACCAGTACTTTTAGTTGAATTAAACAGCACTGAATCTTTTTCAACCAAGTCTTACATGAAGCAGTTTATATTTATGATCTTGGAATAACAACAATACAATAACCCACTTTCTTATTTCTCAGAGGTCCCTCCTGAGAGAGACCATTTATTCACTTACCTGGTCTTTACCTGTAGAAGTGTCAGCAGTCAGGATTTCTTACGTACTGAAGTTTAAGATCATACAAACTCTGCATTCCTGGGCTGTCTTAACTGAGTAGGACCAGCTGCAAAATATCTGACACTTGCTAGGTTAAGGACATCTGCCTTACCAGCACCAGGTAAGCATCAACTCCAACAGCCACTCTTTCTTCACAAGTGGAGGAAAGGCAAAAAGACCTGTGTCCAGGAGACTGGTAACAGTGATTAAAACACAGGAAAACAAAAAAAACAAGTCAATCACCAAAGATTTTCATGGCCAGATAGATGGTCAGGCTGATGTCCTCCTGGCTCCTGGTAAGCTTGACACCACCACTGCTAGCACTAGTGGCACAGCTGCAATGGAAAGAGGAAGGAATAAACAGGCCCTAGGTAGGTGGCTTTACAAGGGTGGTAGCAATTCTTTGCACAAACTGCAACAAGAGGAGACCTACAAGCTTCTTCTGCTCAACTCCTGTTTATCCCACAGAAGGGGACATGGTTCACTTGGCTCTTCATTACCACATCAGAAGATGAAAAAAAACTGCAGGCAGAAGGCCCACCGCACAAGCACTTTTTTATTGAAATCAGGAAGTCGTACAGGTACAGGCTTTGTACAAAAACAAAAATCTAAGAAAGTAAATTTCCTAGCTTGACTCCAATAGTTTAAAACTGTGCATCTGGTTTTAAAATGTGTGACATTTCAGCAAAAGCTTGAAATGCTCATGAGACACATTACATGTTTGTCTGCCTTGCCCTAAGTTCTGCACTACAGGAAAACAGACAGACAGACTAGGTTTTTCGTTAGGAGTCCAGCAAGCAATTGGTGTCAGTTGTAGCTTATCTAACTCTTTCTCAGGAAAGCTGATACCTACCAGACAGTGAAGAATCCCACTATTTGTGCTCAGATATAACTCTGTTGATTACATATTTGACTCCCAGAACTGAGATGGGTTGTGTGAGTGTACTTGTGTGTTTAAGAGATTGGCACTCAATTCTCATATTTTTAAAATATTTCCTATGTTCAGCTTGTAAGCCAAAAAGAGGCAGAAAGCATAAAACTTCATTGTATGTACACACACACCCCCTGCTTGCATTAAAGCAAGGTCAGGAAAATCCAGGCAGGTTCTTAGACTGCCACCACTTGACTTACAAAAATGTGGGGGGAGGTGCTGAATGTGTCTGTGGTAGGGTACACCTTAGTATTTCATTCTATAATTCACAGTATGAAAACTACTTGAATTCCACCTTAGCATGAAAGAGGGAAGGTTTTTAAAAAACTATTTTTGGAGAATTACAAACAGGTTTCAGTATTAAGTTCTGCTTTTGTCTTCCTTCCCTACTCATTATAAAACCCAATCAAATATGCAGCCACCATCACAATGTTAAAAATGCATTCAAGGTAGTCAGCTGGTGCCTTGAAACGGTACAGAAACACTCAAGAAGATAGTTCCCTACAAGCTGCGGACTGTACTGGCCGTCAGTGTAGGACAGACACAGCATGAAAGAACAGCTTTGTCCTTGTGAAACGCGCACGTGGCTTCCAGGGCACAGGCTGCTGCATCTCGAGAGGATGGAGAGCTGGGGTGCAACGCATGGGAGGCTAGAACGCTCTCTGCAAGGCTCGGATGAACTGGGCCCTCAGAACAAGACGCCTTAGTTCATTCTTACTACTCCTCTGGTTTCTTGCCCCTACTGCTCCAATAGTTGCTATATGCCTCTTGGAACATGTTTTTGCAGGGAATTTTGGCCTTCAGTTTGGTGCAGATAAGGAAAGAACCCCCCATCTTCCGATGAAGAGAGTAGGTCTCCTCTGGCGGGGGGACAAGCCGATGCTTCAGCATGACCGGGATTAAACCGTGGATCTTTTCAGTGGTGCTTTGGTTGCCAAAATCAAAAGGTTCCTCAGATGCAAAAGCCTCTCCCAGGATGAGGACAGCATTTAAGTGGGCATCTTCCATTTCCTGCCCAAAAGAAAAGAGGCATAAATAACATCACTAGCCTTTTTAACCACCAGGGAGGGAAAGGAGAAATGCTAGTGCTAACAGCAGCAGCCCAGAAGAAACACATAGCTATACCCACAGCAAAGGTAGTCTCCAGCCCCCAGCAAGACTGATGGACATTTTAATACAGTTTTGAGCAAGTAAACCTTCCAGAAGACCACCTGCCCAGTCATGAAATTTCATCAATCACCACCTGCAATGTCTTGCTGGGGGAGAGAAGGAAGGGCAGTGGTGGTGGGGCTAGCTGTGTCATCGCTGCTGCTCCCACTCCCAAAAGGAAGTGAGAAAACAAAAGCCAAGACCTTTTTTGCCCTCCTCCCTCATCACCAGGGCTTTCAGACTGATATGGGCTTCTACCACATCAAGAAATCTGCCCACGGACCTGCAACAAACTTATCAGTGGCCACCACTAAAACCAGACCCTTCTGCTCCATACCTTGACTTCATAGCCAGTGAGGAATTTCATTTCAATGGACTTCTTCAGTACTCTCTCTCTGTCCATGTCAGCAGCTGCCTTGATTACCTGAACAGGAGGAACACTTTCAGGAGAGCTAGGGAGTGACTGAAAAGCATTTTGAGGACTACTACCCAGGCTACAGGTAGACATGCTGCCTGCTTGCTTCCTTGCCTCTCCCCTCATCTTCATGTTGAACAGTTTAAGAGCTACTGGCAAAGATACAGCTTCTGCCTCTCCAAAGCTCTTCCCAATAGGGCTACACATAGCCCAGAGAACTTAAGTGACATCAAAA